TTCAGGAGGCAGTGGATCATCCCATGCCAACCCTAGTTGCCAAGTCCGTTGCATGATGCATTTTGCCCAAAAAATTGTAGGGCCGAATAACCCCAACGGGTCGAATATTCTGGCCACCATTGACAGCACGCCACGTTTAGTGAATATTGGAGATGGTTGAAAGCGCAACGCACAGCTGAAAAACTCATCGTTGGGGTTCCATTGCAATCCGAGTACCTTTGTTCCTCCGTCTTCGGAATCATGGAATGGTAATGGCGTGCTTACCCGATCAGCTGCCGGCACAGACGACAAAATGTCATGAGTGTTGCTGAACCATTTTTTAAGTTCAAGAACAGATTTTGCGAGAATACGCTGTAAGGAAAATTGGAACTCCAAAGCACCTTCAACTGAATCTGCGCCTACGCAGATGTCGACGACGTATGTCTGGTACAGCAAGGCATCACGGACATGATCGGCGTCGGCGCAATCAGTTTCAGCAATTGACTGTAGCGCGCGTATGGCCAGGAACGGAGCACACGTCACTCCATACGTGACGGTATTTAACTGGTACTCGACAAACTGGTCATGTGGAGATGACCGCCACAGAATGTGCTGGTACTTGCGGTACTCTGGTGGCACCTGGATTTGACGGTACATCTTGCAGATGTCCGCCGTGAACGCATGTGGGTAAATGCGAAATCGCGTTAGGACATCGATTATGTCCTGTTGTAGCTTCTTCCCTGGAAGCAGACAACTGTTCAATGACGGTCCGGCTGAACATCGCGCAGACGCGTCAAACACCACACGGATCTTTGCGTCACCATCATCTGCCTTGTAAATTGCATGATGAGGGACAAAATAATGACCTGGTGTGGGCGCGACCGACATATGACCTAACGCCAAATAGTCGTCCATGAAATTTGTATATAATGTCTGTAGCTTTGGATTAGACAATAGCTTCCTCTCCAACGACTCAAAACGCTTGACTGCCATTGAACGAGAACCAGCAAATGTTGTTGGCAGAACAGGGACTCGAAACGGTAGAGGAACGGAAAACCGGCCAGATGGTAACCGCACACATTCATTCCTGAATATGGCCTCACACTTTCCTTCATCAGTGAACGCATCTGGAGCCGCCTCAGGTTCTTCGATGTCCCAGAATTTGTTCATCTGCTCCTCAATTGATATAGTCAACGATACTGGGAGTGCATGTAGTGGCTCGACGTTGGTATATGGAACAGGACCAATTAGTATCCAGCCAAATACCGAATTGAATGCCGAAGGCAGAGAGGAGTCAATTTCAATTTTATGGCCATTCATAATGGTGGCGTATATGTCAGCACCCAGCAGCATATCCACACTAGATGCGACGTGGAAGGAAGGATCAGCCAGGGCAAGATTTGAAAACTTATCCTTAATGGTAGAATTCAATGTTTTGTGGGGCATATCACCGGTGATGGACGGCAATACCCAAGCTTGAATGGACAGCGATGGTTCAGGTGCAAACCGGGGCTGGACAATGCAGTCAATTCGGCCCATTACACTAGTAACAGGATGCCCAGCTAGAACAGTAACAGGCGCAGTCCAGCGAGTGCGTTTTAGACCAAGGCGGTCCGCACATGATACCGTAACAGCACTTATTTGTGAAGCACAATCAACTAGTGCACGCATTGTCTGCCACGTGCCCGAACGGTCACGCACGTGGACAAGCGCTGTCCCCAGCATCACTGAACATGATGTAGAAGCGGTGGGCATCGGTTGAGATGCACACAAGGATGATTTAGCTTTGGGTTCAGGAACCTTTTCCTTGGTGTTGCGTCCACCCATGTGTAACAAAGTGTGATGATTCCGAGAGCACTGCTTGCAACTTGGTTTTGACCGACACTTGTTAGACCAATGCGAATCGCTGAAGCAGTTGAAACACAAACTGTGATCACGCATCCAAGTACTGCGTTCATCGATTGCCCACGACAAAAATTGGCTGCAGGTGTCCAAACTATGACTTGCCTTGCAGCATGGACAAGATCTTTCGGGCTTCGTTGTGAGCAACGACGCAGCATGTTGATAACCAGAATGACTGGGACGATCTCCCTTCCGGTTCGACGGACGAGACGACTTCGACTGTGAACTAGCGGTTCCTGGTTTCAAATCACCAATTATTTCCAACGTTGACACTCGAGACTGAACGCACGCCAGTAGTGCATCAATAGTCGGATAGTCACCCTGACTCGTGACGGTGGTTTCGAACAGTTCCCTAGTCGCGACTGGTAAACATCGAAACGCCATTGAAAACAATACGAAAGATCCCAAATCTGGAATGTTTAATGATTTTAATAGGGAGAGACCTTCGCTGAATTTACTGACAAATGTATTCAGGTCTGACAATGACTCTTGAGTTGACACGGGTAATTGAAACAGTTTGTCAATTAATGACATGGCGACTAATCGCGGCCTATTAAACCGGTGTTCAACTGTTGACCAAGCCAGGTCATAATGGTCCTCGGACATGGGTATGCCGCGTATGGCATCAGAAGCCACCCCGCGCAAGCAACCAACTAAATAATACATTTTGTCCGCCTTAGGTATGGACCTTGAATCAACATTCGCGCGGAATTGATCGCGAAATGTAGGCCACTGGTGAAAATCACCATCATATATAGGCAATGGTATTTCGGGTAAACGAGACGACGGAATGGAGGTGGACGAAGCTGATGAACCGTCCTTATGACCAACGTTTGTACCCTTATCAACTTGGTTATTGATATAAGACAGGTCAATAACCTCAGCGCCAGTAGGTGTGAGTTGACTGATAATGGATTTCGACGTAGTTATGAGATTACGCACTTCACCTGGCAAATCCGGAGAATAGCCTTCAAGTTCGCCTAACTCCATAAGATGATTCAACACAGACTCGTCTTCTGTCCTGAACTGGATCCACAACGCATCGAGATCAACTGCCGCATGCTTGAAATCAGAAACCAATGTCGAATCCAACAATGCACGTGAACCATGGGCATGGATACCTCGAATTTGTGACACGACTGTGGTTCGTTTGGTAATAGCACGATCTCGCAGCCGCTGCGCACGTTCTTTTTCGTCTACCATTTTGACTAAATAAAATTACAACCAACTTACCCAAAACGATAAAATACCCGCCTGAAAATTACAGTTACCAACAATACCTAGAACGCATAGGACTATAGGAGCAATAAACAATAAATATGTACCTACGTAAACAATCGTAGTCCTACTGTAACATTCACAATTCAATATTAATCTATGTAATATAAATATAATATATAATATAATACTATCACACAACAACAGACCCATAAACAACGCTAACTGGACCCTAACCCAGGTCCGTCAACCACGCTCTGCTACCAAAATGTTGGCGCCGACGTAACTCCTACGATATATGGCGGTTAGCCACGACGACTCGCGTCGGGATGGGAGTGAGGTGACAATGGTTTTTTGAATTAAATGTGAACACAAAGTTGGATTGTTAAATGATAATATATAATATGGAATTAATAATAATTCGTAGGTATCAGTAAATATTGTACAGACTCGTGACCGTGAAGACGTCTCTTTGACGGTCAGCGAATAATAATTACGATGATAGAAAAATAATGATAATATGTCCTTTTGACAATTGTAAAATATGACAACAATAATAATAACAACGATACCACGGCGGCGATGGCAGTGATAGTCGGTGATATGTTACGACGATGATAACGTCGACGATGATAACGTCGGCGGCGGCGGCAGGTGACAGTACGATGACCCCAGCTGTTGACGGCGGCGGCACAATGACGTTACGGCGGCGGCGGCGGCGATACTTAATACTTATTTAAACTGTAACGGATAACGTAAAATGGTATTCTCAAACCGACACGGTACGCACTCGACGATTGTATGGCATAAGCCGATTCCGAACAGATGACGGGGGGTTCCGTGAGCCGTGATGTTGTGGCGTCGCACACGCGGTTTTCGGATTGAGACACAAAACTAATATGCCGTATGCACCAAAGTAAAGCCGAATGAAGTGGTCCGAACGGCGACCGGAACACCACGACAACAACACCGCACAATATTATTGACGCACTTGCAGACGCAACACGTGAAATCACCACAATAAGAGATGCCACGGCAATCAAAAATGTCACGCAAAACGCACGGGCCGTTGTACATCGGCACCGTGGAACGTAGACTTCGCAGACTGAATAGAAACAGGCGGCACGGAGACGACGTCCGAGCCGTCCAGATTGTGGGCACGGGGGGAGAAGTCTAAAGTTCGGGACTGCGAGTGTTATCGTGCAATACTACACGCACCGGTGGTGACATCCAAAGAGGTAAAAGGCGGCAGTTTGAACACATTATAAATATTAATAATTTTCTAATATTAACACAATATTTGTCATTAATATTTTAGTAATGGTAAACTGGTATCACCGCGGTCCGCGATACCGACGAAGAACTACACAATAACAATAATTATAGCCTAGCTGTGGCTTACTGGTTTGTGCCTTGTGGCATTGTGGGGGGGTACTGTTATCTCTCGACTCGTCGGACTCAGATTTCAATAACTCGACGATTTTTACAATAGGCATTAGTTTATTAGTGTAATAGTATTTATAAGTAGATTTATTAGGTTTATCGTTTATAATATTATATGCTGATACTAATATAATATTATTATTTGTTGTAATAATTTGTGTACTTGCTTTCATGAATTATCTATTTACAGTTTAATTGGAATTTAAAAGCGTTTCGTTGGTTGTTTAAACATAGATATTCAATAAATATAATAGTTATTGGTGATAACTAATGCTATTTTGTGGAATTTGGAAGAAAATTAAATTTGCACTGCTAATTACCATTTAATCACTTTTTAGTTGTAAGTATTAAAATAAATTTTTTTTTATCGACTCGTTTTATTAATATTATTACTAGCCACCTAGGTATTCAACTAACTTGTTTCATTGTTTATAAAAAGGTTTTTCCCATTCAGCAATATGTTTGCTTCAATGTTTAAATCACTTCTTAATAAATCAGTTATTGATGCCAAGAAGGAAACGATTGCGATTGCGGTGGAAGATGAAACTGTTATAATTACTAGAAAAGATGTTGAAGACATGCTAACTGAATTGGATGAGATCAAAGATAATGATGATAATTGTTCCGGGACAAAAGATGTTACAGATGCTATTGAGTCATTGTCTATCTCTGATTACCATCCAGAATATTTAAATGATAGTGCTTCAGTTGACAATTTTGACGACACTAAAAGTGAAGTGAGCTCTATTGGAGAAAACCAACTAGCAGTTACTACAGTTGAGGATCCCGATATAAAAAAAACTTTGAACCAAATTAATAGTCTACAGTGTTTATTTACGTGGAAGATAAAATCAAAGAGAAAGAAAGATTTAATTTTATACATACGGAATAAATATGGAGAATACAATTTAAATATAACTTCAACTGAATTTACATTAGAAAGGTATGTAAGTTTTAATAAATAATTTGAATAAATTAATAATACTATTGTATTAAAATTTAAAATTGATAATTAATCAAAGCCACTTCCCTTTAATTAGGAAGTGGCTATTTCCGCGTCCGACGCGTATTTACCTATTTTCGAGTCCTATGCTGTGATTGGTCCAAATATTGATAATATCTTATGAAGCAGCTTACTTCATAATCATAAATTTTAACCTCGACCATTACTTACCCAAAATATATAAAACTACTCACTAAAATACTACCCAAAAACATCCAGGCAATCGCCAAAAGTTACTTAAACAAAGACCAAATGATGTCTAGATAATCAACATTATAAAAAGAATTGTAGTTAATTAACAAGTTTCTTCATTCTACTAGTAAGCTTTTTTATACAATTATTCTTTATCTGTTTTTTTCTCATATAGTTTAATATCTTTCCAACAATTGCGAGTACAACTGTGACTTTTGTTCTTACTGTCTGAATAAATTTCACAATAATGTAAAAACCAAATTAATATATAATATGGTGTCTGATATATTATGACAAATTCACTTTATTATTATTATTTAATTATTAGTATCACTAGCTATACACATAATTGGTGTGCTATGTTTAAAAAAAGTAAATTTAGGATTATTTTATTATAGACTACCTAATGGGAAATCAATAAAAAAAAAATGCATTTTTTGGGAGGGGACGTTCATTTAGAATAAACATGTTTTCAGTAGCCTTAACAAGGGTGACATGGGGGTCAGATTGACCATTGACTTTGGAGTGGATAATCTTCCATATTGTGTTTGATGTGAATTTTGAATCAATTCAAATTATATTCATCGTTCCTTATTATTAAGTATTTTACTACCTAAGTAAATAGTTTTGAGAGGGTGGGGGATTTTTCAATTTTCCCCTCCCATGTAGCTATGTTGCTTTATTTTTTTGATCCCCCCCCTTTCAGAAATCATATCCACGCCACTGCATGTTTTAACCTGTTGCTACATGATTGAAACCTTTAGAAAATGGTTGACAACTTTTATATGGTCCTGTTGTTATATAACATCAATATACAGATTAATAATAATGCACCAGGATGTTTGGACCATATCGTTTACATGGTTTATTATCCTGGTGCAGGATAATGTAGGATAATTTTAAACTGGTCTAGTTTAGCAAATAAGTGGAATGCTTGACTAAATAATCAATTTAAATTTGTTAAATATTTTTTTTTATATTTCTTAGGTTTATAGGTAACATAATTATTGGCTATGAACTATTTCATAATGGTGAGACTGAATTAGCCCAAATGAAAATATTGGAAATTGGGACATGGCTTGAAGATTTAGATAAAGGTGTTGATGAGTTTTATTTATCAATTAAAAGTGGTCTTCAACATGTTATGAAGGCAACTTTCATTCATATGTTATTTGCTACTAATCTTACTGGAGAATGTAAATGGGTAAGCTATTATTTTTAATTAGGTCTTATTTATTTATTCTCATTACTTATAATATTCAAGTTTTTAAGTAGGTATGTATTCTATTTTAAATATTTGTATCTATAAGTGACATTTAAACCAAACACTACTTGTTTAGACATGAAAAAAAAATGTTAATTGTAATGAATATATAATATTTTTCCCACACAAAAACAGTGTAACTTAGGTAGGTAGGTATTTAAGAAGATGCCATTCCTACCAGTGACCTTAACATAATTTTTGTATGGGAGGGTGGAGAAAAAAAAATTTTAACCTAGATACTTGCCGCACATTAAAAGAATAAATTACATAATGTAGGTAATGTATAATTAGGTACAATAGTGTCTACAAATATTTAAATTTAAGTTTTAAATATTTTAAGTACAAACTTAGTATTATTAGATACACAATATTCCTAATATATTCTAATTTGCGAGCGTAGGTAGAAAAAATTATTTTACTTATAACTATAGTACAATATTATAATATATTTTGGTCTGCTGAAAATTTTTTAGTTTTATCATACCTTTCAAAAAGTTGAAATGACGCCCCTGAATTAAACATTTATAGTATACAATTCTTTTTTTTTTTTTATGGTTCCTTGTAACTCGCAAACACTAAGAACACTATTCTGTAAAATTTTAAAAAATAAGATCCAACCCCCACATCACCCCGTTGTACATGCGGTGACACTCGAATTGCCTCCCAAATTTAGGTAGGTGACCTTTTTTTACTCGAATTGCCTCCGGGTGTTTTCGGAGGCAATTCGAGAATACCCAAACGGTCTACTCGAATTGCCTCCTATCACTTACCTGGATTATTAACTAATATATCGATAGTTGTACGTGTATTTACTATCGATTATTATATTATTCCGTAATGTTCATATTTATTTATTTATTTATTTATTTTTTTTTTATTGATCTTAAGCTTCGGCAACTATGGCCATTAGCTGTAGTGGTTTTATTTGTGTGTTGTTATGTCGGTAGGGAGAGGAACACGTGTGTGTTGGGTTTGGCAGAATTTTGAATGGGGCACCCGTAGGTTTCTGCCATGCCCCGGAGTGGGGGATGGCGGCACTTGTTCTCCGGACACCGTGACTTGCCCGGAGAAAAATACCGCCCAGTGGTCGAGAGGATCGAACCCGCGACCGCCAGCGCCGCAGACGACGTGTCCGACCGCTCGGCCACCTCGTCCCCCGTTCATATTTATGTATATATTATTAATTATTACTGCTGTGCCAGTCTATTAAAAAAAAAACATTTATTTATACAAACTTAAGTTTTTGACTGTGTAACAGAATGATATTTCGTCATTATTAACTATTTTATTAAAACATTTATTTTAACAGAATGATATTTCGTCATTATTATTAATTATTATATATTATTATATTATGTTATATTATTTATTTTATACAAACTTAAGATTTTGAATGTATAACAGAATGATATTTAGTTATTATTATTAATTATTATATATTATAATATTATGTTATATTATTATATATATATTTAATTATTATTTATTTTATACAAACTTAAGTTTTTGACTGTATAACAGAATGATATTTCATCTATTTCATCATTTTTTTATAAATCGATTAATTATAGGTATCGCAGGCGATTCCAGTACAAGAATAGGTAGTGACCCTCTTAGGAGGCAATTCGAGTGAATAATATTTTTGAAATCAGGAGGCAATTCGGGTAACCTTTTAAAAAAAAAAATTCACGGGGGGCAATTCGGGAGCGCCCATACATGCTCCTGAGGCCCTGGCACCTGCATTTGTCGTCTCTGTCTTACAAACATAAACAACTAAGCAAATTTATGTTCAGCAGAACTAATTTTGTGTTGTTAGTTTTAACATTTATAAATTAAACTATTCAAACTACAGTTAAGTATATTATTTGTGTTTGTAGGTATGTCGCCATTTTTATGATATTTTAATTTGTTATGCAAGCAGGGGCGCCATTTGGGGGGGGCAGGGTGTGCACTCGCACACCCTGTAATTTTGGTGTCCACAATTGGCCTAGGCCTCATTAATACTATGGCCTTCAGTTTGCTTATCTTTAATTGAGCATGCACCGCAGCTATTCACTGATAATCATAAATTATTTTATAATATTATTGTGTTCTTCAATTTGATAATTGATAAATTGATATCGGTATCACTTTATCCACTGGCACACACAAATATGTGTAATTGGTAAATGGTTACTGATAAACAACAGACATAATAATACGCATCTATTCTATCTAGAAATATCTTTACTAAAGTCCTGATTTTTTCAATCCAAAGTGTTCCTATCTTCATTCATTTATAAACCACTATAATTATTTTGAAATAAATATATCCAAAATGTTAACAGAATTTCCATCTGCCAAATCATTGCTTCAAAGCAATACAATTATTCAAATAAATTTTGATTCTATTGTATCGTCTTTATCACAACTTCCAGCAGCCTTTTCTGAAACTTTAAAAATAATTTCTATACTAAAGATTCTTCCAATTACCTACTACTGCTTCAAATGAACGATTCTTTTCATCCCTTAAAAATGTTAAAACTTTCTTACGTACTACAATGGGAGATAACAGACTGAGTGATCTCATGGTTTTAAATTTAGAGAAAGAAGAAGCTAAGTGCGTAGATTTATATAAAGCTGTAGATGCATTTTCAAATATGAAGCAACGGAGATACCCGCTTAAATAATAATCTATGCTTGTTATGCCTTTATAATTATTATTACCTATGTTATTATTTTATATTAATTATATTATTAATGTAAACTATTAAAGTATAAAAGTCGTTATAATAATAAACTATTATATTTCAAGTTGTTTATTATTTCTATTGCATTGCACGCTTTGCTTTACTTTACGCTTAAGTCATAAACTATCAGCTTTGAATAATTAATTTGTATTTTGTTTGATATCCTATTTGAATATTTTATATTTAGTTTATTAATGTATGTGTTATCTATAAAAATATGTTTTTATTAAGTATGTTTTTGATACTAAAAATTCTGTAATGAAAAACTGAAAACACTAGAAACGTTTTTTTAACGATTGGCCTGGAGGTGGGAAAAAATTGGCCTCTTTAATTGTTTGCACACCTTAAAAAAAAACTGAAATGGCGCCCCTGTGCAAGATATATATTTATGTTCATAATATATTCCAGAAAAATTGAAATATCATAAAAAAGATAGTTTACAGGGTGGGATAAAAATAGACAGGTTTTTCTCAACGTTGAATGTGAGTAAGAAGGTTAGATAAGCTTATTCAATCCGTCAGATAATGCCATTTAGTTGTCACTATGGCGCAGTGGAGTGTAGTTCACCGTGTATTTGCGTATGACGCGTTTTTGAAAAACAATGAATCAGTAGTAAAGACTAAAGTTGCCGTGAGCATTCACACTTCACTTCAGCGTCGGACGTCGAGGTGCTGCTCTCAATGGGAAAACAATTATGAGGTGAATAGATAGTTTTCGAACGGGAACAGTTAATAAAAAAAAAAAACCAAATGGTCCCAAACGTACTGTAACAACTCCCGAGAATACGGAGTCTTACCTTCTTAACACACAGTGAACGATACTCCACTGATCCATAGTGACAACGAAACGGCATTATCTGAAGGATCAAATGAGTTTATCTAGACCTTCCTACTCGTTACGATGTTGAGAAAAACCCCTCTATTTTTGTCCCTATTCCTGTGACCCCCCTGTATATTGTAAAAATATGGATGGTTATTTTTAATTTATTTATTTAAGTATTATTTATTTCAAAAAGATTTATTTTGAAAGTTCGTATACCCATGTTTATTGTTTGATTAACAATTTGTTTAAAAGAAATATAAATATATATTTTTTTTTATCGAGTTTGAGCCTTGCAACTTAGATGTTTTTGTTTGTTTGTATTTTGTTAGTATGGAGTGGAACGGTTGAAAACATGTTTTGTATGTGTGGCAAGGATGCGTTGCTAAAAATCCCGAGTGGTCACCCATCCGGGAACTAGCAATGCCGGCCGTTACGTACACTCAGTGTGTTTCCGCAGTTGAGTGTACGCATTGCGCCTCACCAAGCCACAGAAATATATTGTACAAACAATTATCATTACTATTATTTGTAATTCATCATTTTATTTTTTCATACCTACACTTTGTTAAAATGTTTAAAGGAACTATTAAAGACTGAAATAGTGAAATAAAAATAATGTGTAATTGATAATTACTAAGTAGTAAATAGTGGTTTTTCAGATATCGGTTTTATTTTAATATTGGTTTAGGGTTTTCGCCAAAAATGTTGATATTATTAAATAGGTTTTTTTAATGATTTTATTGAATTTAAAGTAACATTACTGACATTAAGTTTAACTTGGGACAGCAGTAAAGGCGGGTAAAGCATTGGATAGGTGTGTCCCAAGTTACTGTAAAATTGGATACATTTATTTACCTCCAAACCTTATCGTGTATAAATTATTTTAAGGTGATAACAACGTTTAAATTTTATTTACAATATATTAACATATTAATATATTTACAATATATTTTATTAACATAAAAATCTACTTCATTGTTCAACTAACATACGCACAGGACTTAAACCTAATTTACTTAAATTTTAAAGCTTATAATATATGTTACTTAATTAAATAAACATTACTTACTGCTTGAATAAATTTTTAATGATAACAAAAAGATAAATTAGTGATGCCAGATGTCACAATACCTACCAAATTTCTTAAATATGTCCCAAGTTACCCGGTTTGACGGTAGGCAACCATTAGGTTGAGAATTGCTATGCTATATATTTTAAATTGAAAACATTTGTTAAGGCTAGTCGACTAACTCATAGTTTTATCTATTTGTTCTTTTGTTCTAACTTAATAACTTAAATATCATATTTAATTTTTTTTTTTAGTTATTGGATGATATTGAATCATTTGTTAACATGGATTCTAAATCAAGAGCATCTGTACATGCAATACGTGCAGCTGTCTTAATTGAATACGGTGGAAATCCAATCTACTTAAAAAAAGCTTGTGATGTGGCAAAGAAAGCATGTGATTTAGATCCTAAAACTTCTCATTGGTTTTATATTCATTCACTTGCATTGACAGCTCAAAGAAAATTCTTACTGTCACATACATCAAGTCCAACTGAAAATGAAATGAACACAATTCATCAAGCAATTATTTTGTCTAATGGAAAAAATGCTCTTTTCAATTACCATAACATGGTTCTATATAGAGATACTACAGTTGGATATTTTCATAATTATAAAAATAAAAATGATAAGTCTTTGCTTAAAAAAAATCTACATAAAAACAAAAAAATTGTTCATATGATCAAGTAAGTAAATTAATGAGAATAAATTCATTAATTATAATTTTTCTAAGAAATTATTTTTTTTGTAATTTTATATTTACTTGAAATGTTTTGTGCATTTTGGCATAATACTTAATGCTTATAGTATAATAAATTGTAGTTAGACACAGAGGCGTATTTTGTATGTTTTTTTTTTTTGGGGGGGGGGTGTCCAGATAATATAGGTATATACTTATTTGTTAATTGGTTGCAATATTTCTCTGTTTTACATCTACTACCACTAAGTTCATAATATAATCATCAAATATTATAAATAACGATAAACGCATAACTTGGATAACGTTTTAATTCTGAATTACGATAAACGCAAAAATTGTGTAACGTTTTAATTGTAAATAACGTAAAACGGAATTTTTTTTTCAAATGCAATCCCTGCTTAAAAATATTACGATTCTATATAATTTAGATAAAGAATATTATATAATATGCCTATTATTAGTTTAAAAAATACTTAATTAAAATGTTTTAATTTTAATGAATATTAATTTATGAATTATGTGCACTTGTGAAAAATAAATATTATAAATAATATAGGTACTCACCAATGACAATAATATGATAATATGCCTTGTTTCTTGAACGACGATTAAATGAAAAATGATTCAAATTCAATTGATAAATAATAATATGTTTTAAAATAAATGTACATGGACATTTAAGATCCAACGTATTAATATATTAAAAAAAACATCATTGTAATATATTAATATCTAAATATACACAAATTCGATTCGATTCGATTCGATTTGGAAAAACAAGTAACACAGACACATGAAGGCACGGAGCCGCAAGATAAAAATATAAATTGCACGTATACTGTAATAGGATAATAAAAACATAATATTATTTAAAGTACCTATATAGTTATCATCATCGGTCACAATAATTTAATAATTATTACTATATATTTTGTTTGTTACATTCAATACGACAATACCAGTGGTGCTATAAGAATAACAGTTTTATAAATAATTAAAAATATAATAGGATAATAAGTACATTATTTAAAACTAAATTTATTTTCTTTCCTAATTAGTTTAGGACTTAATACAATATTAAAATAGTTCATAACGAACCACATATTTTTGTTTGTCAAATTCCCTTTAAAATGTATCACTCCCCCCCCCCCCCAAGATAGGCCACTGCTAACTTACTATTTACTTCATAATAAAAATAAAATATGCAATGATTATTTATAATATCATTTTGGTGTAACTTTGATTGAAAGATGTCAGTAAAAATAAAATTTTAAATCTGAAATAGAACGTGTTTCAAAATATTTCACAAGAGGAGTTTTCTAAAGGTTTTCTTTTAATTTTTTTTTTTAATTATTTTAGAACTATAATAGACATGGATCCAAAAGACCCTCACTTGGTAGTTAAGTGTGCTAGAACCTTAATGACACTTCCAATTATGGTCCGTGATTTTAATTTGGGAAAACAATATTTGACAAAAGCTTTTGAAATGGCACCAAATGATGCCACTGTTTTACAAGCAATTGAAAACACAGTTCAAGCTTATAAAGATGTTGTAAGATATATTCAAACATTTTATTAGTTTAAAATTTTCGTTCATTGTTTTTTTTTTTTTTTTTAATTTTAGTCAAAACGAAAACAACAACCGGCGAAAAATAAAACATCAGAATTAGGAACGGATATAGGACTTATAGTGAAAAAACTAAGAAATGGAGAAGATCCTGTTCCTCTCCTCACTAATTTGCTTTCTAAATATGATGGAAAAGATAAATCAAACTTATGGCTCAGCTTTGTTCTTACACTATATTATTCAAAAAAAACCTAAGATCTGGTGTTGAACAGTTTATTAAGTTGATTGAACAATCAGAAATTGTCAGTAAAGATGTAATTACAGTAAGTAGTTTTAAAAAGTTGCTCGGCTGTACAGTAGGTTACAAGTGGGTCACTACTCACTGTATAATGAATGGTATTAAAATTGAATTCAATGATATAATATCATTGTATAAGAAAAACGATTATGAGCGGAGACAGTATGTCAGTCTAGGTATAAGAGATATTACATAGTTATCTATGGTATTAAAAAAAAAGTTAGTAGATAGTATTAGTAAATAAGTTATAACTTATAACGCGTTATACATCAACAACAAACCCTGATGCTATCATAGATATATAATAGTGTACTTTAGAAGCTTCAAGTACCTACAAATAATATTATACAATCATAACAAAATAACTAAAATAGTTATTCTAGGTTTTTTATTATATAATTTCGTCCAAATTTGAACTTAAAATGACTATAAAAATAAACTGTGTTTATGTATTTTTTAGATTTTTTGGTTACAGAATTAACTACTTACGTGGAATCTTGTTTTAAATTTTCAATCCTTAAATATAAAAGTTGAACATTTTATAAATTTTTACCTACAAAATAATTATTCAATTTTAAATTTGATAAATGTTGTCAAAATTCGATCTTTAAATGCTTATAAAAAAATTGTGCCTATGTATTTTTAATATTTTTCACTGCTATTGTAACAATATATCAAGGGCCTTGTATTACATTTTTACACTTTTTGGCCCAACATATAAAACTTTATTGATATTCATAGAAAAAAAAAAAAAAATTGAAATATGAAATTGTACGTTCAAATAATAATAGCTCAAAACAAGTAAAAATATTTTGATAATGTTATCAAGTATAAGAATTGATAAAATAAACATACAGTGAAATTTTCATGTATCTACAGTTAACCAAAATTTTTCCGGGCGCTTTTGAAAACTATTGGGAATTTTAAATTTTGACCTCCCCAATGTACCAACAATATTCACTTTCCCATCGAATAAGATACTTAAGTTGAAAATCGAAGCATTATTTCGACTACTTATCGCGTAAACACACACAAAAAAAAAACACACATCATTGTAAAATCAATACATTCATCATTCCACTCAGAATCTAAAAATATATAACAATTTTGACTTTTATTAAATATTATTTTTTCTATATAACTAACAAATTATCCTTCTATATTTTTTTTTATTATTAATAAACTTAATTAGAAATAAGTTATTTGTTATTCTAATATAACCTATTTTAGATTCTGAGCAGAGTAATGAAAAACATCTTTTGGAGCATGAAACTATGGGGGTTGTTTCTGATAGTAAATTATATCTGGTTTGTACATTAGGAAGTCAAAGATAATAATTATGCCAGTACTTTACAAAATAATAAACAAAAACAACAAATAAATTGCTTAAGATTATTATTTTTTTTGTTTAATTCAAAAATTAAATTTTCACCATATTATTATTATTATTATTAATTTATTTCTCAAGATAAGAATACTGGGCCTCACTGAGTATTCTCGTGTGGAGGCCCAGGAGTTATTATGTGTACATGAGTTTAATTAATTTCTAGTGTATAAGTTACATGTTGTATTGTTTAAAATTATTAATTATATAATATTAAGTAAAAATATGTGTCTACTATCTTAGTGAAACATTACAAATTAAACGTAAATAAAAAAAAAAAAAATAGAACATAGAAAAATTGATAAATAATATAAATTTAACAAATAGTTAAAAAAAGGTATGTTATTAATTATAATAATAGGTTATTGTTGAATTCATAAAGAAGCCATTTCTTAAAGTCTATCTTAAACCTAAGCAGAGTTAATGCATGGAAGTGTTTTGGTATTAAGTTTAGGATTTTTGTACCGACGAATTTATATTGTTTTCTTGTGCCCGTTTTATGAGGCCATTGCATTGTATAATTATTATTTTTAGCGAACCTGGTAACAACATTATGACTCAGGGGTAATGGGACATCATGTTTTTTTAAGAAAAGGACTGCTGAATTAAAATATATTTTTTTGATATCTAGAACATTAAAGTCTTCGTAAAGTTGTTCTGTATTGTATGTTTTGTCTTTACTTAAGGCGATCTTAATTAGTGTGTTTTGAGTAGTTTGTAATCTAGAGAGAGCGTTCTCATATGATCCTCCCCAGCCTATAATTCCATAAGATATTATTGGTTCAATCAGTGCCAAGTAAATTAATCTTAATTCTTTCTTATTTAGGATATCTCGAAATTCTCTCATTATATATATCATTTTTCTGGTTTTCTGTGTTAATGAATTTATTTGATCATGCCATTTCATATTTGAGCACATTTCTATACCCAGATATTTGAAGTTATTCACAACGTTTATTTTCTTACATTCACACTTTATATTGTTGGCATAGCATGTATCCTCGTGTAATATGAAATCTTTTTTGGTTGGTAACGTATTAGTTTTCCATGAATGTAATAAAATAACAGTTTTATCGTAGTTTAGAAATAGGTTATTCATTATAAGCCAGTGTTCTATGATTTTTAGATCTTCCGTTATAGTTTTAAACACAGCTTCCCACGTAATTTCTGAGCAAATTAAAACTGTGTCATCAGCATAGCAAACAAGGGTACTTTTTAAGGGTAGGTTTTTAATGTCATTTAGTTGTATATTGAATAATATAGGTGAAATGGTCGTTCCTTGTGGTACCCCACATATAATCGTCATTTCATCACTATGTATTTTATTAATTTTAACTAATTGTTTCCTGTCACTAAGGTAAGATTTGAATAATTCTAAAGCGGGTCCAGTTATCCCAATATTTTTCATTTTATTTAATAGAATACCGTGGTTGATAGTGTCAAAAGCTTTAGCCAGGTCAAGGTAAATTGATGCACATTTTTTTTCTTTCTCTAATGCATCGTAAATAATATTTGTTGTTTTTGCTATAGCCTGATCTGTCCCTTTTCCCGGTCTAAAACCAAATTGGTTTTCAAATAGTAAATTATTTTTTTCTAAAAATTCAACTAGTCTATTTTTAATAATTTTTTCAAACACTTTTGCTATATTTGATATAATAGAGATTGGACGATAATTGTTTAATGAAGTGTATGCAGTGGTGTATTGGTAAATAAATTTATGGGTATACGCACCTAAAAGTAGTTGAATATAGTATATACCTATATATACGATATACCTACCTTAAAAATTTTCTCGCTCCCCTCAAAAAATGATTACACTTTGTATTTAATAATCTTTTATAACTTTATTACAAACACTTACTCTTCATGTGTATATGTATATGCAGTGGCGTATATACCCCCCTATATACGCCCCCCAGTTCGCCCTATATTCACCCACAACCATAAAATTAATTCATATATACTCCACTGTGTGTAATATGTACCAAGTATCAATGTATTATTTTTTTTTTTTAATTAATTCAATTTCATGGTATAAGTCTAGTTTACCGGGCACCTTTTTTTTTGAAATTTTTTTTTTAAAAGGGTTGCCAAACGGTCGCCAAACTCGAGGTCCTCCGCGCGGCATTATAGTAGTGTTGCGCGCACGCGTATAAACGTAAAATCGTTAACTTTGGGAAGCTATAACTTCCAAACTAATCATTTCTGCAATTTTATTTTTGCACCATCGTTCTTAACTCGTCAAAACAACCCTATTCAAAATTGGATGACAAGTAATAACACAATACATCAACAATAATTATTTTATTATTATTCTAATTTGTCATTATCATTTAGTTTGAAATGAAATTACGTATGTTTATTCACAGTTTGGGAACCGCTGTACATTGATTGTATTGCTCGGCAGTTTCCGATCGTCTTCGCAAGAAAACGTCGGGTAAAATTTAATCGAACTTCATGCGGGTACGGGGCTATTTTTAGTATTTTTGGACAGTGCACTTTATGTTATAATAAAATATTATAACTAAATATAATTTAGGTTATTATTATTATTATTTTTAAGTTTTTACTTTTGTTTGGTGATAATATGCCTAAATTGTCTGATGATAAATTAGAAGCGTGCGTATACCCATAAAAGACTAATTTTCTTAAAGGTATACGCATAAATCCAAAAATAGGGATCCGGGTATACGACGTATACCCACGTATACCCTCCAATACACCACTGAGTGTATGATCCTTTTTTATGTATAGGGGTGACTATTGAAATTTTAAAAGCATAGGGTATACAATTTGAGTTTAGACATAAATTATAAATATGTTTCAAAGGGTGACAAAGAATTTGTTTATGTTTTTTTAATAGTTCAGATGTTATGTTATCAGCTCCGGGGGCAGATCCATTTTTTAATTTAGAGATAGCTTTCAGTATTTCAAATTCATTTATATTCGTAAAATTATTGAGGTAAGGTTTTTCATGTATTATTTTATTATCAGTAGAATTAGGATTTAAATTGTCTTTGTTTTTATTTGTTTCATAACTTTTTAATTTGGTGATTAGTTCGGCGGCAACATTTATGTAATATTCATTAAAGCTATTAGCTATTAATTTAGGGTGTTCGTTAACATTTATTTCTTTATCATCTTTGGTGAGTATTTTATGGATTGTTTGTTGTTTTTTATTTTTACCGATTTGGTCTCCTATCAATTTCCATTTTAATTTTGAGTTGTTGTCTGCTTTTTTCAGTTCAGTCTTATAGTAATTTTTTTTAGTATTTCTGATTAATAATGTTACCATATTTCTGTATTTTAGGTAATAATCTTTTAGTTGGTTATTATGAGGGTGTTTTCTAACTTGTGAGTGAAGATGATCTCGTTTTCTGATTGTCTTTATTAAAGTAGTGGTTGCCCATGGTTTAATTTTCTTGGTTTTAGATGAGATCTGAATTTCTTTTGAAGCGGATATTTTTATAGTATTTAATATTTCGGTAAAAATATTAGTGGCGTTATTAACTTCTTTATTTTGATAGACGGATAACCAATCTTGCGCTTTGATTAAGTGGGTAAGTTCTACTTCATTAGTTTTCATTATTGTTAACGGGTTTGGTTCATTATTGCGGTTTTTAGAGATATTTTTTATGCTAAGGATTATTGGATAGTGATCAGTTATATTTAATTGTGGTATAATTGATAATACATTTTTCATAGTCTTCGTTTTAATGAATACATGGTCGATACACGTGTTAGAACTAGGTCTAGTAACGTTATTGATGAAAGGTACAAAGCCGTATTCCATCATGAGTAATAGGTAATCGTTTTTTATTTTTGAAGGTCTAAGCAGGTTAATATTCATATCACCGAGTATTATTTTGTAATTTGCCGTTTTTGATATAGATTTTTTAAGAATTAAATCGTTTATTTCATTTAGAGTTTTATCTAAATCTGTATTGCTAGGTGACCTATATATTGCATAAGCTAGAAAAACAACATTATCCATTTGAAACGTTATTTCTAGAGTTGTTAATGTACTAGTGTTTATTTCCATAACTGAAATTCCTACTAAAGTATTTTTTAAGTAGACAAACACTCCATCATTTTGGTTTTTGTTAAATTTGGTTGTGAACATTGAGTACCCATTTATTTGAAAATTATTGGTTGATATATGTGTTAGTCCTAACCAAGTTTCTGTTAAAACAATTACCTCAATTTGTGTGTTGATATGGTCTAATAAAATGCATAGTTCGTCAAAATGTTTTTTGATACTGCATATGTTTAACATAAAAATATTCAAGGTGTTTTTCGTATAAATTATGGATTTTAGTTCATCGCATGAACATTCGGTGGCACTAATTGAATCAATATTATCTAGTACTAAAGTGTAATCTGCAGTATTGTTTGTCATGGGTATAATATTATAAGAATAGTGATATGATTAATTAAAACGACCCAGAGCCCAATTAAGTAGTAGTGGAGATAATCTAATAATTGATTGTACCTTAATCGGTTTAAATTTAATAATGCATGTTTATTATAAGATGATAGAAGTGACTTCTTCGTGTGAGTGTAGTTGGAGAATAAAAATATAAGTGTTATGTGATATAATAATAATTTTGAATAATGTACGTATTTATGTAAAAAAATCAAACAGGCATTGATAACATTAAATGGTAGATAGTTGGTTATGTGTAGGTATGATTTAGGAAATATGAAACAAATTAGTTTAAATGAGTAGAGTTTAAGTTCAATTTTAATTTTTGAATTACCTCTTCATTGACAACGTGAATAATTTTCTCTGATTCATTTTTGCGAAGGAAGATCTGTCCGTTTTTAGTCCAGGCGAATTGGAAATTGTATTGTTTACGGAGATCTCTAGCTTCTTTGAACAAAAAATTGCTTTTTGGTGTTAGATTTTCCCTTATATATATTGGCATATCAATTTCCATACCAATTTTTTTTGTGGACAAATTTCTTATGATTTTACGTGAATCTAGTATTTTGGTTTTGTCTTGGCGGTTTGTAAATCCAACTATTATTCTTCTTGTACGATTTTTTTCTGCACGTCCTATTCTATAACAATCGTTAAGCATAGGGTCCGTGATTTTAACATTTAACTGTGTACCAATGGTTTTCATTATTTCATAGCAGTTTTCCAATTTATTTTCAGGTACGCCATCGATGACTATTTCATTAGCAATCAATCGACGTTCAAGAGTTTCAATTTTATTTTCTAATGTGTTGATTTGTGCTTTCATTGTTTGGTTTTCATTTATGATTTTGTCAATCGTATTAATCTTGTTACTTATAAGTTCGAAGTTTTTCCCAGTTTCAGTTTTAAACAATTCAAAACAATCTTTAAGTTGTAATATAATGTTTTTTAAATCGATAAGGTTTGTTTTGTCATCATTAATTTCTTTGTCTATTCGTAAAGACGCTCTTTTTTCTGCAGAACACTTGTTGCATCTCCAGTAGGAGCCTTCGTCATTATAAAAAGCAATGTCCTCTTTTGTTAGTTTTTGGCATTTGGCATGCCATGTTATTTTGCAATCATTGCAAGATATAGATAATGTTCGTGATGTAATAATGGAACTGCAGACATAACACATCGACATTATGTAAAAACTATGTACGTAAAAATGAATGGAATAACGATAATAGCTGCAAACTAATTAAAATAATAAGATAATTAAGCTGATAAGAGAGCACACTAATAACGAAAGAAACACTACACATCCGTCCTGGTCGGTACCACGAACGTAACATATACGTAGGTATTATCCATATTAGCTATTTCCTAGACCATGATATAATTTTCAAACATTTTAAAAAAATATGTAGTTATGCTGATAAAAAAAATGTTCAACTCAAACCTTAATAATTTAACACAAAACTCCTTATAATTTGTAATCATTTGTAATTTTTAACTTACAGAAATTATAAAAATTTTAAAAATCCATATTCACAATTTCATTTTAAGCGTTTGTACTTTATCAAAATCAAGAAATTGGTAAATATTTTGTAGCTACAAATGTAGTAAAATATTCTTCATCAGTTATTTTTACCAGAATAAAAAAAGGTTAGCCTAATGCTTCATGCATTTTTTATTACTATTAAAAGTTAAAATATTTGCTAAATTTGATATTTAAAAAATAAACAGCTTAAATTTTATAAATATAATATTTTATTTATTTTTTTTTTGTAATCCATTATACTAACTAATACATTTTTCCATTACATATATTATTAAAATATTTTGTTTAATTTTAAGCTATTTATGGTTTATACCGAGATCTTTTTCATGCCATTCTATGGAAAAAAAGTACTGACTTATAAGTTAATAAAATAATAACAGTCATATGTGATGTTATACTCTATTTATTATATATTATTATAATACGCAATTTATTTTTGGTAAAATTAGTCCAACCTGGGGCATAATTAATACTTATATACATTTGTGCAAGGTCCTGTTTGGTACTTCTTATAATTATTTTATTTGTTTCAGAAACATGTTTCAGCATTTGGTTCAAAGACATTTAGTTTACCAGAGCTTATTTGTAACGAAATCAGATTGATTACAAATTTAAGTGGCACTTCTTCTGATATGCTCTATTATTTTAAAATGTTAACTAAAATCATAGAGACATGTAATTTAAAACTTAATGAGGTTGACTCATCTATGAAGAGCAAGCTCGTGATTGATTCTTCAGTCTATCAATCTAATGTTTATCCGTGAGAAGTGAAACTGAATCATCAGATAATGAGACCGTTGATAAAGTTAAGCCAAAAAAAAATCGTAAAGCTAAGCACTTGCAAAATACAGGTCCTAAAATATTTACACAGACTGTTAAATTGAACAAAGCAGCAAAAACTATAAATACAAACTCCAAAAATAACAAAAATGCTCCAGAAAAAGCACAAAATAAAAAACCACAGCCAAAAGCAAATGATGTTAATAAAATGAAAGTTAAAATGGAAAAAGTTTTAAATTCTTCCAATGGAGAAGGGGTCAACATTTCCAATAAATCAAAGAATTCGCCTATGGATAGTCATTTAGAAATTCCACCAAGAATACAGCATTATACCCAGCAATTATATCAAAACATTTTAGCCAACACGCAGGCACGTTTTAATTCACCTAATGTATCTTCTACTGATATTAATAACTATTTTAACCAAAATCATGCAAACTTTAGATCATCAATGCAATCGAATCCATTTCAGAACTCATATACGCCACCATTACTTAGTCTAAGACCTGAAACAAGCCCTAAAAATCCAAAACCTAAGCCAAAAACAAATTTTGTTCAATCGCATTCAAAAAAAAAATGAGTTAAGTTTATTTCTGTTTTTGATTTCTTTCACCTAAAATATACAGGGTTTTTTTGTTATAGCATTAAGAAATTAAATGTACTATGATTATAACATATTATGTTGTTGTTGACATAACATATAATACATTTTTAAATTATTTTTGTATACAGCTTCAATATTAAATTACAAGTTACTTATGTTTTTGTCATTTTACTATTATAATTTTAAAGATATTCAGTTATGACCATAATTATAAAAAGACTACATAAAGCATTTATTTGTCATACATTTAGACACATGCAGTTATGTAACATACTATTTTAAGTATTTGAATAGATTAATAACGTTAATAAAATGGTATTCATTGAGGGTAATAAGCAATCCCTGAAACTAGACTGCATCTTTCCAAAAGAAAAAAAATGATTTTAATAGAAATAACTAATAAGTCATTATTGCACTAATTCAATGAAACAGTTAAGTCCCACATGCAATTTTTAGATTTTGGTTGTTTCCAGGGATCTATAATAATATGCTATCAAAATGGGGTTTTTTGTTTGTCGGTGAACAACAATTTGGGGAAACAAAAGTTGGCGATTAGGTATTAAGTTTTATTTTCATTGATAAAAACTAATCAAAGGTTGTATAGGTACCTTCAGTAGTTTGTGTTTGATTTTTCTAATGCCTAATACTTTTTTTAAGAAAATAGATTTAGAAGTTTTTCTAATTTTCAATAACTTGAAAATTAAAAAGGTGGACAAGTGAGTAGTGACTGCTGTACAGTAATTGTTGAGCATGTCATTGTAATGGATGTGTTATATTTGAATTTAATGATAAATTGTTGAAAATGAAAAACGATTTTATCTTAGATGTTATCTTAGCATACTTCAAATGTCTTCAATACTTTTACAGCTGTTTCATAAATAATGAAAATTAATAATTTTAAAAAAAATTTAAAAAAATCAAAAACCTCTAGTGGCGGCTATAAATAGCTTAATTGTATGGTAAACTTTTTATTTTTTCATAAAGGTAGAGATTATGTTTTTTGGCAAACAAGATAATATAACTGGTGGACCACACAACGCTTTTGAACTTATAAATTACCAGCTGGTCTTTCGCGCTTCATTGCCCGTAAAAGTTTACAACTCTTAAAAAAATTTTGATTGTTCAACTCCTTTTGGGTGTAACTCACTGTAACCATACTGTAAATCAGCCACTGAAGAGAAAGATTAATTTCTCTGAAACTAGTAAAACCATTGTATTTTATTGATGATGATGATTTTTAGATTCTAAGCAGATCGATGATGTATTGATTTTACAATGATTGAATGATGTGTGTTTTTTTCAGTCTTGTTAAAAACATTTTTCAAATGTATTCAGAATACGTATTTGAATATTTAGTGTAATTTGTAATACATACACAAATACTTTTTTTAAAGTTCAATAATTCAATCAATTCAATGAATAGTCGACTAACCACTACTACATACCACCCACGCCATGAAGTACTATTATTGAATAATGAATATTTTTTTAATCAATAGGCAACCTCTTATGTATCCCTCCATCTATCGTGCTTATTATAAAAATATTTTATACAGATTGTATAAATTAAAATAAATATAGCGAAAAAAAAAAGTTCAATAACATTAATACAAATATCTTATATCCAAATTATAAGCTACTACCACAGTACCCATCCATTAAATAAGAAGAATTACTATTTAAAGATTCAAGAGAAATGCCAATCCAATCAGTGGTGGCCAGTTTCTTGTTAAGGCTCTACATGTAAGTATTTATAGTGCTCTAGTCTTGTATGCCATGGTATAATATGGAAGTAAGGAGCTGATGGGGGTTTCAGCGTTCAGTCATTCTGTTATCTGTTTGTATTTTGGTGAAACCTTATTTATAAATAATCAGAAGTTAGAACTATTTTAAAAACAAAATTCAAAATAGTACCTACATTCCGAAATATTAGTAATTGGAATTTAGAGTAGACCACGAGAGTGAAAATAAGTATTTAGTATTCTAGAATAAAAATGCAAATAAAAAGTATTTACCTACTAAGACCTACTAGTATTTGAAATACAAAAAAAGTATTCGAATGCTTAACAAGATTGGTATTTAAAAAAAAATTTTTTTTATTTGTGTGCAGCCGACTGCCATCCCTTTTAAGGACAGTAATAATGCTTAGATTTTCTTCTACTATGATCTTCCTCTATTAAGGGTGACATTCACTTACTCACCTTTTTGAAATTTATTTCAAACAATAGGTATTATTCGTAAAGTGTATGGTTAGATTTAAAAAATTTGAATTGTGAAATTTGAATATTTTAAATAAGCTGATAGGTTATAGGTACCTATTATAGATACAGTATATTTTACAACATTACCTATTTGAATATCATATTACTTTATTATTATCTAACATTTTTATAATTTATTAACAAGCAATAAAATAAAAAATAATTATAATTGTGTTATGGAATAACTGTTTTACATAGTTTTTAATTTGTAAAATATAATCTAATAATATGATACATTACAAGTCAGTGGCAGACTGGGGTAAAAATCGACTTGGGAAAATGACTGTTAAAGTGGCCCTAATTTAGTTACAGTAACCATCACTTTATTTGACATTTAATTTTTCTATCCAAAATTATCCAATTTTAGATTGAAAGCGGAGTGAGTAATGAATATATTGATTTTATAATAAATAAATACCTGTGTTTCTGATTTTAGATTCTGAATGGAACGATGAATGTATAGATTTTACAATGATGTGATTTTTTTTTTTGTTTTTTTTAATTTTTGTGTCTGTCATCACCTTTTAGGACAGTAAAACTGCTTCGATTTTCTTCAACAGAAACTTGTTCTATGAGAAAGTGAATATTGTTGGTGCATTAGGGAGGTCAAAATTTAAAATTCCCAGTAGTTATCAAAAGCGCCGTGAAAAACAAAAGAAAAATTAAGGAAAAGCGGGAATTTGTACCCAAAATCTGTTTTTGAGAAAATCGATTTTGGTTTTTGGTGCAACTAGCTCTTAAACCAATAATGACCGTAGGTACAATATTGCAATTTTGACTGAATGTTTATATTAGCATTTTCTATACACCATAATATTTTGAGCTGTTTACAGACATTTTCAGCTTCCATTTGTTTCAGATTTTTTTCCCATAAATATCAGAAAATTGTATATGTTGGTTAAAAAAACTTGACAATTTAATAGAAGGCTCCTAGTATATTATTTCAAAGGCAGATGAAAAAAATTAAAAATCCAGTCACAATTTTTTTTTTATAAGCATTTAAACTTAAAGTTCAAATATTGACAAAATACGTCAAATTGACGAAAATTTGCAAATTATTTTGAGTTAGAAATTCATAACAAAATTTCTTTTTAAATCTAAGATTTTAAACGTAATACAAGATTCTTCATAAGTTTGTCTACTTTTATCAAGAAGAAAGTCTTTAGAAAGTATTTTAAAAGAAAGTCAAATTTTTTATGAGAGTTTGAAATTAATATTTTTACAACATAATTTGATATTCACTCGATTTCTCATGTAACGATTTTCTTATTTTGTTGTAATTAAAAAACGAATAACTGTAGATACTTGAAAATTTCACTGGATGTTTATATTAGCATTTTCTATACACGATAAAATGTTAAAAAATAGATAAAATAATTTGACTCTTTTTGAGCTGTTTACAGACAATTTTCTATAAATATCAATACAATTTATTTGTTGGGTAAAAAAGCGTGAAAAATTTAATGCAAGGCTCCTGATATATTGTTACAATAGCCGTTGAAAAATATTAAAAATACATAAGCACAATTTTTTTTTATAAACATTTAAAGTTCGAATTTTGACAAATTTATCAAATTTAAAATGTAATAATTATTTTGTAGTTATTCTCAGTATAATCTACAATATCCAAGGGGCCTATTCTTGAAATCATACGGATTGGATCCGTATACGAACGATTCACATGATAATTTCCGTATACGAACAAAATATCGTATTCTTGAATATTTTTCGTTCGTATACGAATCCGCGTTCCCCAAATCGTTCGTATGGGAATACTATCCTAATGGTACACAGCGGCAATGTCGCAAAATATGTCGTTCATCGTGGAAAGTAAAATAAATTCTATACAAATATTGTGAGCGCTTACTTATGTTACCATGAAATATTATTATTTTCTATTCATTTTTATAGTACCTATAATAGCTTTGCCATTTTTTTTTTCATTTTACCGTTTTATTTCACAACAAAATGTCGTGCGAAAAAAGAAAAAAAAGTCAATCCGTAACAAATGATCAAAAAACAGCAATGGTTGATTTTTTAAACAACCATTCTGATTTGTTAAAAGGCAAACATTCAGCCACTTTTACAAAACATATTGCCGCAAAACAGTGGCAAGAACTAACAGATTTGTTAAATTCAATCCCAGGGCCAATAAAATACTGGAAAGCCTGGCGTAGAGTACGTACAAATAAATTAAAATTCATCTTAAAAAGAATTTTTATGATTGATGAGATAGGAAACGATGATATTTAAGGACAATAAACGCATGCCTGCAAAATTTGCGATGTGTACTACGCGTAGTAAACCGACCTCTTACTTTAAATTTCATATCATGTGAATAATAACACAGTTTAAAATTTAAATATTATGTGATGAGATTAATTTTTTTGAACCATTTAAAACTCAGCAGATTATTAGTAAAATAAAGTATAATATTTATATATATATAAATATATGTATATAGATCATATTATTATGTAATTAAAATATAATATTTATGTTAATATCAAAAATAACAAATACAGTTCACAAAAGATAAATACAAATTCCAAATTATAAATATCCATAATAATATTTTGTAGAGATGTGTTTATTGACAGTGTAGAATGTATAGATACAATTCAAAATTTTTTTATTAGTAAAATAAAATATAAATATTAGCAATGTCATATTAACTATATTAATATAATACCTACAATAATAAATCATTTGAGAAATCATATTAACTATAATATCATATTATAATGACAAATCATAATAAATATTAAATAGTAATAATATGATATAATTAAATGTCTTTCAAATAAAGTGACAATTAATACATCAATGTGATTAACATAATATGTATTAACTTTAAATATTTGAGAAGCCTAAGATTACCTATATCTATTAAGTTTTAATAACAATGAAATTATAATAAAATACGTGATTTAAATAAATATAAATCGAAAAATCGAAGGTCAATTAAAATTAATATACAATAACTATATATTATATACCTACCTAATTAATATTGATTACTATATGATACCTACATTATATAGAATATTATTATTATTTATTAATAGGTATTTATAATCAATGATACAAAGTTAATGCTTAAACAGTTAAACAATAGTAAGCTTATTCATTTTATACATAAAATAAAATTAATTAATAGGTGATGCTCGTTTTATGAAAATATACCTATCCGTTTTATGGATTTTTAAATATTCATAAGAAATGTTTATTCTGCGTTATTTTTTTGACAATTTTCAATTTAAGGGAATAACATTTGGACCGTTTAACCATTTTTAAGTCATTCAACACTAAAATTCAGTTTTTTTAATTTAATTTTAAGATTTAAAAGTGTTTTTTGTTCAAAACTAAAAAAAAAATCTAAGTGCATTTTTAAGCGCATTGATTTTAATTTTTAAGGTATAAAAGCAGTTTTTAGGGAATTACATTCCCATCTATAGTTTATTAGTTATTACTAACGGGTGTTATTTATCTAATTACGTATGTTATATAGGTAACTCAATAACATATTATAATTATAATATTATAATAATTTTATATAAGTATAAACTCAACAATTGAATTTAATAAACGATCATGATAAAACATATTGTGGTACTTAGTTTATTCGTATACGGAAATATGTTTCCGTATGCCATACCCCACTCGAATGAATCGTACGGATCTTTTTCACACGACCGAACACATTCGTATACGTAAATATTTCAAGAATACCTATTTTTTGGATCATGTGGAAAGTCGTGTGTAAACTGGAAACCACGATTTCCGTATACGGATCCAATCCGTATGATTTCAAGAATAGGCCCCCAGTGCTTTTCTTTTTAATGAATTATGAATAACTATTGTCTAACCATAATGTCTTGTACCTACGTCTTTTTATGGTTATGATCTAATTTACTCTCTATAACAGTATCTCCACTTTAATTGGTTTTAAAATATGCTTTACACTTTTGGATTGTACAATTCCGTCATCTCACATCATTATTTAATATTTTATGAAATCTTAATTTATACCCAGGGCCCGATTGGTATGTATCGGCTATTCGGCTCATCGAGATTTTCACTTTTCTTTTTGCCCATTTACATATTCATCAGTGGCCCAAAATTACGTCTATAATTATTATGAGCTTATAGGTGGCTAATCGTATTTTAAACATGAATTTATTTTCTCTCACACCGGCCCACCGAGATTGTCTCGGTAGCTCGCCTAACCAATCCGGCCCTGTTTATACCCTTCAATAATTTTTATTTCCTTACCGTGTTGTCTTAACATCAGTGGCGTGGCGAACTAAAAATTTTCCAGATGAAAGTTACAATAATCGCTATTGACTGCCTATTGAGAATATCATATTAAATTGACTAGGAGACCCACTGCCTACCACCCACCCCTCTATTTAAGAAAAATTTCATAGGCCTTGGCAGTGGCGTATTTACGATTTTGGCGCCCTATATAGGTACACACATTTTGGCCCCACTTTTTTTCTCAGTTTCCTTTTATTCATTGTCACCAAAAAACTTTTAAGGCCCCTCTAATTTACAGTTTACTTTTTCTCTCAGTTAATAGTGACGGGCTTGAAACCGGTATAAACCGTTATAAAACTGAAACCGGGAACAAAATCAAAACCGAAACCGAAAAAAATTGGATACCTGTATTATAATTAAAAACCGAAAATATAATTTAAAAAAACGGTATTTTTTTTGTAAACCTTTGCATCTTGATATTTTTGAAAGTTTACTTTACACAACAGGCGATCGGACTATCGATCCAGCGATTCAAAAAAAATAATAAACTAAAAATGAACGTAAATAGTCCAGGTCTTGAAACCGAATTTAGAAACCAGTATAAACCGTTTAAAAACTGAAACCAATAACAAAATCCGAAAATATTGAAAATCGGTATTAAATCCAAAACCGAAATCGAAAATAATTGGAAACCAGTGTACAAATCGAAACCAAAACCAAAATTTTTTCAATAGGTTTCAAACCATGTGATAATATTGATAGGTACCTAACCCAAAATGTATATTTTGTTTAAATCATGAAAATATGTAAATTATTTTGAGTTTTCAATTGATAAAAATGATCATTTTTATATCTAATATTTGAAAATGTTCTACAAAATAAGTTTTTCTACCTTTACCAAAAAAAAAAAAAAACGGAAACGTTTAACGGAAAGTCAAATTCATTTTTGATGAGCGTTTGAAGTTTAAATATAAAAGTTAACTGTTAATTACCTATACTGTTAAATAGATAGTAGAAGATGTTAAAGTCTAACAGTTAGACATAATACAAGTACAATAGACATGCGGTAGATCGCCTATTGCACGAATGCAAACATTTTTGATTTTTGAAATTATATTATTTTTCTATAATCATGATTATACTCATGAATTAAAATATACTATAGGTATTTATTTTATATCGTGATTATACTAAGTATTTTTATCAATATTTGGATAGGATGTGATGATAGCAGGTGGATAGGTATAAACATAATAGATAATATTATGCCATACGCGTCGAATGCAGAAAATTCAAAATATATCCACTTCAATTTTAAATATTAACCAATAAATAATAATGGATTTTTCGTTACTGGTAAGTTAAACATTGAACAGAAACAAACTATAAATATTGTCACTCGATATTAATGAACTTAACACTTCGCAGGAACCAACTTTGTACACTGTCAAGGGTATGGCTATTTTGGACAATGATGGCAATCGCATACTGGCCAAATACTATGATGACAATATATTTCCAACGATTAAAGAACAAAAAGCATTTGAAAAAAATCTATTCAACCGTACTCACAGAGCAAATGCAGAAATTATCATGCTGGACGGAATTACATGTCTGTACAGGAGCAATGTGGATCTGTTTTTTTATGTCATGGGAAGTTCACATGAGAATGAAGTAACAACAGTGTCTGGAGTACATCATGTAAATTGCAAATGTACAGGGTATTTTTATATTTCAGCTGTTATTGATGAGCGTCTTACAATGCATGTATGATTCAATCAGTCAAATTTTAAGGAAAAATGTGGAAAAACGAGTTGTACTTGACAACTTAGATGTTGTTATGTTGGCGTTAGATGAAATTTGTGATAATGGGTAAAACTGCATTATATTTTATAACCATAATATGAGTAAACATAATTTATAATATTTTATATTATACTCTATGCTACAGTACTGGGTTGATGAAGGTCCATATGCACTGATGTGGTGGTACTAAAATCATCTTGACGGTACCACCACAGTAGTGATACATTTTTCCACTACTGTTTCTGTAACATATTAAGTATGTTCAGGTCTTAAAACATTTATTTTCCACAGTATTATATTGGAAGCCGATTCTGGGGCAGTTGTACAGAGAGTAGCATTACGAACCGATGACATACCAATTGGAGAACAAACTGTTGCACAAGTAAGCTACCTATTTTATAATTAGTATTTAGTACTCCAATGATATAAAATTGTAAAATACATGTGTATATTTTTTTTTAGGTCTTCCAGTCAGCAAAAGAACAGTTGAAATGGTCATTATTAAAATAGTGTGTATTTTATTTAAATCTTTCAAGTATAAAATGTTAACATATTACATACTATTATTTTTATTGTTTATATAATACTATATATTTATAACTTATTATTAAATCAATACAGATTCAATTTATAGACGAACTTGTGAAAATTCTAGTTTTTTTTCCAACTAATAGGTAACTACAACAATCTTATGACATCAAAATGTGTAGCTATTATTTTTATGCTGATTTTGTATCTTATTACTTAATAATTTAACTGGTGTAGTGATAGCCAAACAATGAATTTTAGAATGTTAAGGGGTATGAATAGTATTAGAAAAATCTATGAAAATGTTCGTTTGTATTTCCAATATTATGGTTTATTGAGCTGTTTGAGAGTAAAAACACCTATTATCAATATTGTAGAAGAGAAGTTAATCTGTGCCTGTATTTGCCACCAACTTTTTGAGATACATGATCAGCCTAAAATATGTTCAGATTTTTAAGATTTGTAATTTTTGGTGTACCTAACTCTAAAACAAATAACCGTAGTTTTGCAATTTTTACTGCATTTTTATATTAGGTATAGAATTCTTTAGTTGGTAATATTTTGCCTTGTTTTGAGAGGTTTATGGACCTTTTCAGTTTCCAATTTTTTTTAGTTTTTTTTCTATAAATGTCAATAAAATTTTATTTATTTATTACTAAATACTAATATATAAACGGGGACATTGCATATTGTTAAATTTTTTGTGGAACAAAAGGTAGTGGTCCATATTATTACTTGACGCTTATATGAAAAAAAAGTCATTTTAATTTTTTATGGCTGTTTTAATTGTAATCAGTTATCAGTGTTAACCACGGACTAATAATGTTGTTATAATATTGTATATATCTGTGGATATCTTAGGGCCGTTCTTACAATGTCCGGTAAAGTGTCGGTTAACGCTAACCGACTGATAACAGATTTTATTACCGGCAGAATTCTTCCGGTTAAGTGTCGGTTAACTTTAACCGGACGTCGTAAGAACGGCCCTTAGTGTAACTTATCACCATTTAATTAATTATTAATAGTAGTTTTCTACTATATTTGCTTATACAATAATATAGCTACATTATTATACATGAACATGTACGTCGTACCATTCTTGATTGGCGAATGACTCAGTGATGAGACGTGAAGATGTTCTCCCTTCAATATTCATGTAAAATGTAAATAGTTAATAATACCTACTTATAATTGTTATTTGTTATAAAAGTAGATAATCAAAACATACCGAAGTGTCTCAGGTATGCTATACCAGTTATAACTAAATAATATATTTTTTCATTTTAATCTTGAAACGATCAAAAAAATACCATCTTCTAAATGATTATAATAGAAATGTAAACATTTTTAAAAGGAAATTGAATTTGAATATGCTGTTTCACTTTTCAATCGTAAGTAACAACAAAAGTTATTCCAATATTTTTGATAATAATAATATTCAGCTATACACTTTTTTTTTTGTTTTTTAATAGGTGTTATTTACAAAGCAATAAATATGTATGCTTCATTGTTCAAATCGCTCTTTAATAAATCTGGTAAAAAAGACAAGAAGGAACTGATTACTGTGGAATCTGGTCTATTTGACATCACTAAAAATGATGTTGAAGACATGCTTACTTCGTTGAATGAGATAAACCTTGATGTCAAAGAAACTTTAGATAATAGTGTTAGTCGTTCCGTGTCGTTAGATAATATTATTGATGGTATCGAGTCAATGCCTATTGATAATACACATCCAGATAATTTGAATGATAGTGCTTCAGTTGACAATTTTGATGACACTAAAAGTGAAGTAAGTTCTATTGGAGAAAACCAAGTAGCGTGTGAAACAGATGAAAATTCAAAAAAAACCAATACTGCAAATAAAATTAACAGTCTTCAGTGTTTGTTTACATGGAAAATAAAATCAAATGACAAGAAAAATATGATTTTATTGATACATAATAAATATGGAGAATACAACTTAAATATTTCTTCACCTGAGTTTACATTTGAAAGGTACATAGGTGATATAAATAATATTTAAAAAAAAACTTTAATCTTCTACTATACTCTGTCCCACGAAAGAACATGCCAGTTCATCGCATCCCGCTACGTCACCCTGCTGTCGAAACTGGTTCCCCTGACCCCTATGACATAGATTTTTTAGTATTAAATACTATTCATTGTAACTTTATTAACATTAATTAACTGTATTTTTTAACTTAATGAATACATAGCAGTTTTTAAATTACTGCCATTATTGTTTCAACCACTAACCATAAAGCTTAATAGAAAACGTAAAATTGATGGGATAACCTCAGTTTGGAGACCTTCTAAAGCAGAGCAAGCTGCAGCATTTATCACAATTATATCTGTAACCAAGAAGTACCATCACTGGATGGTTTTTTCGCTCAAATTATCTGTCTTTCTCTCTTTATTTGTATTTTTATTTTTATTTTATTAATCTACAACACTTACACTTATTGTAAAAAATAATATATTTACAGATTGTGTAATAAAACTAATTAAAAAACCAAAAAAAAAACCTCTTTATACTACTAAACATGATTTCACTTAAAATAGTTTGTCTTATATACCTTTATAAACACATGTAATTATGTAAAAAATGTTATGTACCTATACCTACTTATAATTTGTAAAAAAAAACGTGCCTTTATTAATAAATGTCTTATTATTCTTTATGAAGCAGTTTTTTTTTTTAAATGTACATTGCTTATATTTACAGGTCCTTGTACTTTCTTTTTCCTACTTACTTGGTCACCCCTAAAAATATTAGTAGTTGAAATTAGACTATAATATCTAATAGAGTTAGAAAAAAGCTACTATATTTTTTTTAGCTATTCCAAAAACAAATGATTTGTAAATGTGACTAACATTATAGTAAAGACTATAAAACGTTTAGTTCTATTTACTATAAATTAAAAAAAAAACAATAGTTGATTGAAAGAGAGATTGATTCTGATAGAAAAGTGAATCTAGTTGGTACTTTTTGGAGATCGAAATCGAAAGTTTTAGTTTTAGATATTAAAAAGCGTCAATAAAAAAAAATTTTCATTTTTACCTAAAACCAAAATTTTTATTTTTTGGTTTAACTCAAAAACTAATAACCGTAGACCTTTGAAGTTTTCACCAAATATTAATTATATTAATATTATGTTATATTGTATTATATTAATTATATTAATATTTTCAATAAATGGCAACATTTTCGAAAAATTTTTACTTTTTTGAGTTATAGCCTTGAGAAATTGTTTTAAAATTATTCTCAATAAAAACTTTTTTACTCAATAAACAAGCTCGAAAATGTAATCCAAGGTTTCTTAATACAAGTTTCATTAATGTAAGTTCAAAAATATTAAAGATACATATATGCATGATTATTTGTATAATGCATTTAAATTTCAAATTTTGACAAAATATTTTTCAGTTAGAAATTCATTAATGTTTTTCCTTTCATAGCTAACATTAGAAATGTTAATAGAAGATTACCCAAACATTTTGCTACCTTAAGTTTACCAGAAAGTAGCATTTATATTTTATAGTATACCTATAGGTAAAAGTTTGAATTTAAAATTGTTACGATGTACTAAGTATGTATTATGTATATAAACATTATCTAAAGACCCTATAGCCTAAAAGTTTGATAAATTAGCATCATTAGCAGACCTCAGCTTCCAAGATAATCATTTGTATGTAGATTTTATAAACAATAACATAAACAACGAATAATTAAACTACTTACAGAGTCTTAATGCCAATTAAAGGTAAATTACATTACTATATATCTCAGGGCTTGCATTTGAAAAAAAATTCCGTTTTATGTTATTTACAATTAAAACATTACACAATTTTTGAGTTAATCGTTATTTAGAACTAAAAAGTTATAAAAGTTTTGCGGTTTATCGTTATTTAAAATAGTGTTAATACCTACCTAATAAGGGTCCTGGTCGCGACTTTTCAAATTTTCCGCAATTCTATAAAATTTGAAAATTAAATTTTATATTTTAATTGCCACCTCAATTATAAGACTTTTCCACTAATCAACTACCCAATACCTATTTAGGGGGGGGGATTGATAGGGTGTATTATATCGATCAAAACTCACTTTACAGGAAAAACTCTCACACCTCTTAGATGGGTCTGATTTCCGTAATTTTTTTTTTGTTAGTTAGAAGAATATTTTTTACAGGGCGTATTGGACTTCGATTTTTGATTACGTTGCTAAAAAAAAATAATAATACAAAAACTAAAAAGTTGTAAAAATGGATTAAATTCAAACTTGTAATATAAGATTTTGAAAAATAATTTTAAAAATCCAAGTCCAATGCGCCCTGCAATAAGTCTTCCTCTATTTAACAAAAAAAAAGAAATTATGGTCTATGGAAATTGGACCAATCTACGAGGCGTGAGAGTTTTTCCTGTAAGGCATGTTTTTGTGCAAAAAAACAGGTCTCGCGCATGCCCCTAAAATGTAAAAACAATAACTTATGCCGATAGGTAATGGCCCGGATGGATCTAGGATAAAAAAGCCACCGACAAAAAAGCCACGGATAAATAAGCCATTGATAAAAAAGCTATGGGATAAAAAATCCATGGGATAAAAAAGCCATCGATAAAAAAGACATGCATTTATTTAACTCTTTTAAACCTTTTTAGATATAGGTATCTATAAGTTATAACCATAAGAAATAAGTCAAATATTTTACCGTAAAATTTAACCGTAAATACCGTTTCCGGATATATGGTATAAATACTATAAATATACATTTGAAATATAAAAGATTAAACTGATTAAGGTATATAGCAATAAAAGTCATTGCCATTTGACTTTATCTTAAAACTGGTGTGGGTATCTTAGTGTCTAAAGTATTGTATTATATGTGAACAATATAATATACTATGTGATTGTCTCTATAATCTAATATTATTATAGGTTGACCGAAACCTATATGGTTGGGAAATTGGTAAAATGTTATCTTTTATACACTATTTAGTTTCCGTTATGCTCAGTCTGTGTATAGTACAAACGTCGTGAAATAAAAGTGTAAGGTGTTAAAATTTGTAAGAAAACAAAGTTTTAGAGGGAATGGATTTTTTAAGAACAATTATGCCACCGGAGGCAACAGATTTAGTCGATTATTTTGATACCACGTATGTCCATGGGTCTTACAGAAGTGTTCAGCATAATCCGAATAATGGTATCAGACTTCGAAATATTGCACCACTCTATCCACCATCAATATGGAATGTCTATCAAACTACCCTTGATAATGGACATCGAACTAACAACGAAACAGAAGGGTGGAACCATCGTTTTTCAAAATTAGTAGGCCACAATCATCCTTCTATTTGGTCATTAATTAAGAAAATGAGATTAGAGTTGTCTTCAGATGAAACAATGTTAGCCCAATTCGTAATAGGCAATTTAAGTAAAAAAAAAAAAAAAAAATTTATGAAAAAATGCAAGAAAAATTGTATAAAATATGTAGTGATGGCTTAACACAGCGGACAATCGACGAATATTTAACAGCTATTGCTTACACAATACGATTATTTTAATTATTTATTATTTTATATTATATTTTTAAATTGTAAATATTAACTTTTATAAATTATACTAATTATTGTGTTCAATTTTAACATTATTATACTATTATTTATTATAAAATGTACAAGTAATTTTGGAGTTGAAAATTCATATGATACTTGATTTAAAATTCGTCTTTTTTATCCATGTCTTTTTTATCGGTGGCTTTTTTATCCTGTGGATTTTTTATCCCATAGCTTTTTTATCAATGGCTTATTTATCCGTGGCTTTTTTGTCCGTGGCTTTTTTATCGGTGGCTTTTTTATCCGGTTACCGGCCCGGATACGGATATAATATTATCAATTCGTAGATTGTTTGCATGAAATAAATGTTTCTACGAAACAAATAGACCTTTTAAATAAATAAATATGTTTTAAAATATTTCGTATTGCGTTATGTTTTGTTTGATGATATATAATATATTTTGTTAATCGTTATGTTTTGATATGCTGTATTTAATTATTTTTGATTATCGCATTCCGTTATAATTACGTTTACAAACATGTATCTTTTTTTGTAAAAAATAAAACGTTTTAATCAATAATCATAATGTTATTATAACGTTTGCAATCCCTGCCATATCCATAAAATATTGCAATTTTTCAACCACTTCAAGATTAAAATTCCCAACTTACCTATTTAAATCACAATAAATTATATTTTCAATTAGGCTGAATTGTATTATTAATTAATTTATTGTACAACAACATTCATAAGGCCAAAATTTGAAACGATTTATTATGAGGGTTTAACCATTTTCCAACATTATTTTTTTATGGTCTATAGAACTGGTCCTTCTGAATACAATAAAAAAATCGGCAGAAGTGTTGACCGGTTTTTTGTCTGCTGACTTTAAAAATTGCAAAAAAAGTTTTTGAGGTGTGTATTGAAAATGATAATAAGGGGCCTCAATATTTTGGTTTGCACACAGGCCTCAAGTAGCCTAGTTACGGCACTGTCAAGGGCATGGCTATTTTGGACAATGATGGCAATCGCATACTGGCCAAATACTATGATGACAATATATTTCCAACGATTAAAGAACAAAAAGCATTTAAAAAAAACCTATTCAACCGTACTCACAGAGCAAATGCAGAAATTGTCATGCTGGACGGAATTACATGTCTGTACAGGAGCAATGTGGATCTGTTTTTTTATGTCATGGGAAGTTCACATGAGAATGAAGTAACAACAGTGTCTGGAGTACATCATGTAAATTGCAAATGTACAGGGTATTTTTATATTTCAGCTGTTATTGATGAGCGTCTTACAATGCATGTATGATTCAATCAGTCAAATTTTAAGGAAAAATGTGAAAAACGAGTTGTACTTGACAACTTAGATGTTGTTATGTTGGCGTTAGATGAAATTTGTGATAATGGGTAAAACTGCATTATATTTTATAACCATAATATGAGTAAAATAATTTATAATACCTATTTTATATTATACTCTATGCTACAGTACTGGGTTGATGAAGGTCCATATGCACTGATGTGGTGGTACTAAAATCATCTTGACGGTACCACCACAGTAGTGATACATTTTTCCACTACTGTTTCTGTAACATATTAAGTATGTTCAGGTCCTAAAACATTTATTTTCCACAGTATTATATTGGAAGCCGATTCTGGGGCAGTTGTACAGAGAGTAGCATTACGAACCGATGACATACCAATTGGAGAACAAACTGTTGCACAAGTAAGCTAGGCACCTATTTTATAATTAGTATTTAGTATTCCAATGATATAAAATTGTAAAATACATGTGTATATTTTTTTTTAGGTCTTCCAGTCAGCAAAAGAACAGTTGAAATGGTCATTATTAAAATAGTGTATATTTTATTTAAAATTTAAATCTTTCAAGTATAAAATGTTAACATATTACATACTATGTTGTTCCCGAGGTGTTTGATAAGACTGTAAATTTTTTGTTACAACATCATCAGAAATTACTAAAATTTCCTTGTGTAGAACACGAAAGTGAAATGCTTACTTCCATAGTACATTTCTACATTACAATGCGGATGAAGCAGTACACTAGGAATCTGAACAGAGAAACAAAAAAACAAAGTTCTAAGAAAAATAACTATCAAAGCTTTTAATTCATTAATTGACTCTACCAATTTTATACTTTTGAATAATAAATACCATTTTACTAATATTAGATTTGACTGTTGACTCGTTATTAATTAAGCCGTTACTCTTTAAACATCATAAACTAATACCTATACCATAACTATACCTGTAATGTGTATCATATTAATATAATATAATTAACAGTTAATATTTTGCCATTGAGGTGGTAAAGGTAGTTTAATTATTATAACTTGTTATAATAATTAATAATTAAACAGAACAATTATTAATTATTGGTTTGTCATGGATTGGATTTGTTGAAAATAGCAATGTTATTTATTGCCACCAGGTAGCGCTGAGGCTCAAAAGGAAGATCCCTCCGTGCACCCGCCACCAGTATAACTTTTTCTGACCGCGTTATCGTAATCAGTCCTGTATATTATCTTAGTCCGTGGTCCGTGGTATTAACTTATCACCATTTAATTATTAATAGTTATCTACTATATTTGCTTATAAAATAAAATAGCTACATTATTATACATGAACATGTACGTCGTACGATTCTTGATTGGCGAATGACTCAGTAATGAGACGTGAAGATGTTCTCCGTCTAATATTCATGTTAATAGTTAATAATACCTACTTATAATTGTTATTTGTTATAAAAGTAGATAAACAATACTTACCGAAGTGTCTCAGGTATGTTATACCAGTTATACCTAAATAATATATTTTTTAATTTTAATCTTGAAACGATCGAAAAAATACTATCTTCTAAATGATTATAATAGAAATGTAAACATTTTTAAAAGGAAATTGAATTTGAATCTGCTGTTTAACTTTTCAATCGTAAGTAACAACAAAAGTTATTCCAATATTTTTGATAATAATAATATTCAACTTTACACTTTTTTCTGTTTTAAATAGGTGTTATTTACAAAGCAATAAATATGTATGCTTCATTGTTCAAATCGCTCTTTAATAAATCTGGTAAAAAAGAGAAGAAGGAATTGATTACTGTGGAATCTGGTCAATTTGACATCACTAAAAATGATGTTGAAGACATGCTTACTTCGTTGAATGAGATAAACGTTGATGTCAAAGAAACTTTAGATAATAGTGTTAGTCGTTCCGTGTCGTTAGATAATATTATTGATGGTATCGAGTCAATGCCTATTGATAATACACATCCAGACTATTTGAATGATAGTGCTTCAGTTGACAATTTTGATGACACTAAAAGTGAAGTAAGTTCTATTGGAGAAAACCAAGTAGCGTGTGAAACAGATGAAAATTCCAAAAAAACCAGTACTGCAAATAAAATTAACAGTCTTCAGTGTTTGTTTACATGGAACATAAAATCAAATGACAAGAAAAATATGATTTTATCGATACATAATAAATATGGAGAATACAACTTAAATATTTCTTCACCTGAGTTTACATTTGAAAGGTACATAGGTGATATAAATAATATTTAAAAAAAAACTTTAATCTTCTACTATACTCTGTCCCACGAGAGAACATGCCAGTTCATTGCATCCCCCTACATCACCCTGCTGTCGAAACTGGTTCCCCTATGACATGGTGTGTCGTGGAGAACCCGTTTTGGTCGGTTTGTGGCATGATCTCTCGTGGGACAGAGTATAGGTATATTCTTTATTTGCATTATAAACACAAAGTAGCTTATAGCTTAGCTTCTGTGTATGTATAGTAAAAATATAAAATAAAAAATTAATAATATTCCTATCTTATTTATACTTCAAATAATTGGTTTTAATTCTTATGTTTAGGTATGTAGGTAATTTAATTATTGGCTATGAATTATTTCATAAAGGTGAGTCCGAATTAGGACAAATGAAAATATTAGAAATTGGGAAATGGCTTGAAGAATTAGACAATGGTACTAATGAATTTTATTTATCTATTAATATTGGTCTTCAACATGTTATGAAGGCAACTTTTACTCATATGTTATTTGCTACAAATCTTACCGGCGAATGTCAATGGGTATGTTATTATTTATTTATTTTTATTTTAAGGGTATTCGAAACCGTGATTGTCTGTTTTTGTCTAACACATGCGTGACAGTATTTTAGACTTGTTTTTTGCCAAACATACTAATTGATCCAATGAAGCAATAAGAATTCTGAAAACAGATTTGAATTTTTCGCCAAGTCTACTTGAAATCAACTTTCCCACATTTTTGATATTAAAACCCAAATTCCTAAAATTGTATATAAAAACAGTGTTTAAAAGTTGTAGTATTTCAACTTTTGGAGAAGTTAAACTCAAAAAAATTAAAAATGTGGGAAAGTCGATTTCAAGTAGTCTTGACAACAAATTCAAATATGTTTTTAGAATTATTACCGCTTCATTACCTACATCAATTGGTATGTTTGGCAAAGAACCTGTCTAAAATCCTATGACGTGCAAATGTTAGACAAAAGAGAAAATCATGGTACCAAATCCTCTTAAGAACATAGGTATCATTCATTTTTTTTATTCAAATATTTTTAAAAAAAATCTTCATACTATGTTATGAATAAAAGCTGCTAAGTTAAATTACCCACAATATTCTTGAAAAAAATATTTCAAATATGTCATTGTACTTTTATAGATATGTGTACTTATTTTGCGACCGGAGCCGGTAGGCGTAGGGAGCTTCTATAGACTTATGTTATTCTAACTGGCGACCGGAGCCGATAGGCGAAGGGGAGTCACTATTAACTTATGTAAACAGGTCAAGGAGTGAAAACAAGAATTAACTATGCATAGGGACTCGTAACTTTTAATATATAAATATCGACGTCCTCCGAGGGGCATTATAGTAGTGTTGCGCACATGCGTATAAACGTAAAATCGCAAACTTTGGAAGGCTGTAACTTCCAAAATAATCATTTCCGCAAACTAATTTTTACACCATCGTTTTAAACTTGTCGAAATACATAGGTTTCCGAAAAAAAATCGAAAAATTCGAGTGGGCCCTAAACTAGAATTGTTCCTAGTTTTTATAAAAATAAAAATGCTGGTTCTTGTTCTTAAAAATTAAAAAATGTTTTTTTCTGTAATAAACAATTTATTTCATACCTAATTAAAAAAAAAAAATAAATTTATATCTACCCAGTTATTACCATAAAAAAATGCATTTTGTACTATTGTAATTTTTCAGTTGTTGGATGATATTACACCGTTGTCTAAGATGGATTCTAAATCAAGAGCTACTATACATGCAATTCGAGCAGCTGTATTTACTGAATATGGTGGAAGTCGTCACTTTTTTAAAAGAGCTTGTGACAGTGCAAAAAAAGCATGTGATTTAGATCCTAATACTTCACATTGGTTTTATATTCATTCAATTGCTTTGACAACTCAAAGACAGTTTATACAGTCACATAAATCATATCCAACTGATACTGAAATAAATGCTATTCAGCAAGCAATTTTGTTATCTGACGGAAAAAATACTGCTTTCAACTACCATAGAATGATATTAGATAGAGACACTGCAATTCGGTATTATCATGATAATAAAAATAATCATGATAAATTGTGGATTGAAAAAAATCGGCAGGCGAATAAAACAATTGTTCAAATGATTAAGTATGTAAATAAAAAAAATTATACTTAATATCCTAAACATATAGACATTATATAAATGTATATTGTTTACTATGTATAATCAGGCATGTATACAGGGGGGTTCAGCCCCCCCCCTGAAAATGAATAGTGGTATAATTTATTTATATTGATCATCTTTGAATCCATTCCAAAGTTTTTGTTTGTGTACTTGCCTGTGTTTCATTAAATACCTATAGATTAATATTAGTATAGTCTTTCCATTTTGTAGTTCAAAAGTTAGTCATCCCTATCTAAATATACTCTGAATAAGATACCTCAAAACCTAGAATATTTTATGTATTTATTTTATATATTTATTGGACTCACCCCATGACTTCTCTAATATCTCATCTAGAAAATCCTTTGTCAAGAGTGTTATGAATACACAGTGTTGGATAGTAACGTATTGAAAATTACAAATTACTTTTGCAGTAACATAATGATTAATTAATTTGCAAAAGTAATTAACTCAACACTGATAATATAGTCAATTGAAATTTTAAATTTTAGTATGTGTGTGGGTACTTCATACATTTTTATAGATTTAATTATTTGAAGTTAATTTATATTTAGCTATTTTGATTTAATGCTACATTAATTATTTGTGTTATTGCAATCTTTTTTTGTGTGTTTACATTTTTTATTTAACAAACCCAGAAGATAAATTTATTTTAGATGTAGTTATACCCTATAAACATACAATTTTTATTTTTATTTATTTTAGCCTTTTCATAAAATTCAATCTGTAGACAATACTTGAATGACAATGAAATTATAGTAAATAAAACAATTATGAATGTATTATATACTTTTAATACAATTTAGGTATTTAGAAGGGAGTTTTCTAAAGGTTTCCTTTTCCTTTTTTTTTTAAAATTATTATTCATTTTATTATTTTAGAACTATTATAAGCATGGATCCAAAAGACCCTCACTTGGTAGTTAAATGTGCTAGAACATTAATGACTCTTCCAATTATGGTCCGTGATTTTAATTTGGGAAAACAATATTTGATAAAAGCCTTTGATATGGCACCAAATGATGTGACTGTTTTAAAATCTATTGAAAAAACAATTGAAGTTTATAAAGATATTGTAAGTTAAACTCAGAAATAATATTCATAGTTTAATGTTTTAGGTAATTGTTTTTTCTTTTTTAGTCTAAAAAACAAAGACCTAGCAGAACTACTGAAAAAAAAAAAAATCATCCACCACTGAAGAATAAAACACAAAAATTAGGAATGGATTTAGGACTTATAGTAAGAAAACAAAAGAATGGGGAAGATCCTATTCCTTACCTTACTAATTTGATTTCTAAATATGATGGGCTTGATAAATCAAAAATTATGGCTCAATTATGTTCGTATATAATATTATTCACAAACAACCTAAGATCTGGCGTTGAAGAGTTTATAAAGTTGATTGAACAACCAGGAATTGCCAACAATTTTATAATTACGGTATGATTGTTTAATTTTATTATAACTTATAAGTAAATGTTTGCTTATAAATGTTAATCAATTTTCTTATTGTATATTTTCATTTGTTTTAGCAACATTTTTCATCATTTGGTTCAAAGACGTTTCATTTAGCAGAACTTATTTGTAATGAAATTAGATTGGCTACAAATTCAAGTAGCACTGCTCCTGCGGATATGTTGTACTTTTTTAAAATGTTAACTAAAATCATGGAAACTTGTAACTTACAAATGAAAGATGTTGATTCTTCTTTGAAGACCAAGCTAATCATTGATTCATCCGTGAAATCTTCATTTCCTAATACAACTCATCAAAGTGAAACGGGTTCATCAGATAACGAGAGTGTTGAACAAGTTTCAGTTAAACGCAGAACTAAAAGTCGTAAACCAAGGAATTGGCAAAATACTGGTCCTAGAGTATTTGCCCAAACGCCTGAAGCAAACAAAGGACCAAATAGAAGAAATGATAGATCACAAAGTAATTTTTCTTCAAGAAATCATCAAAGTAATAACCCCTCAAACTCTGCTGCAATTGACCAAATGCAATACAAAATGTTAAAGTTTTTAAATGTTTCTTCTGCTGAAGGTCCAAGATTTTCCGATAATAATTTTTCTAATATTTTATCAACTGAAACCCTCAGAAATGTACAAACACAATCACAAGTAGAACAATATACCCACCAGTTATATCAACATATCTCAGCTAATAATAATACACATCAAGATCGAAGAAATGTACCTGATACTTCAACAGGATATTATGGTAGGAATATTAATCCTCCATTTCCAAATTTAAGCTCCACCTCACAATATTCTGGATTTCAAAATCAACAACCACCTTCATTACTAGATATAAGACCTCAAATAAATCAACAGGACCCAAAACCTCGTTGGCAAAGACCAAAAAAATGGACTTCCAAAAACCAAAAATAAATAAGTTGACTGATTTATTTTTATTTTTCATTGATTCAAATAAAATATATAAGCAGTTTTAATACGCTAGTAATTTTAGTATGTAAGCGGTTTTTTTAAACAACATTAAGATGATTTGCCTGTAAGAATTTTTTTATGAAGAAATGTTTGTTAATAACAATTTTTTCTTTCAAGATTTCAATTTAAAAACATCCGAGCTTATAAACATAACTTATTCCTTATAAGTTATGTTTACTCCTATGTATAGCTTCTTATAATGTTATATCATGTTAATTATTTTATTTTTATACTTCAATAAGTATTTACTATTGTTAAAGAACTAGTTAAACCGAATTTCAGTTGTTTTTTGGTATTTACTTGTGTAAATAATATGATACAGTTACATTATTTTATTTACTATTTAAAAAGTACTATGCAACCTAAACTTTTATTCATATTATCATTGAGTATAGATACTAGGTAGTATATTTTATTATCTTTTCACAATGATATTATCTAAAAATGTTTTTATATTTTAATTGATTCAGGTTGTATTTTTAATGTGATTTGTTTTGTACTTTTTAATCATTTTGTCAATGTACTAAATTCCTGTACAACATTTTTATCTTAAAGTTTTCTTTATAACTAAATTTTAAATTTCAATATTATCAAAAAATACAATTTGTAATGTATTGAATATAAAATATGTAACTAATATATTTTTAGAATCAGTAAAAAGTTATAATTATGTACCATTAGTTAAACTCACTATAATTAAAGTGTCCTGCTATTACTTATAATAATTCCTACATTATACTTAATTAATTCTTTAATACTTGTTATCCATTTTAAATTACATGTAGTCAATTTATATTTGAATGATAGAAATCTCAACTATGGTAACAAACAATTTATATATTTTTATAATTATTAACTACAGTTCTTTTATTATTCCATTTAAATAAATTGGTTCTACAATTAGAAAAATAATTATTTTCAATTTTCAATTTTAAACCTATTTGATTTATGATACTATTTATACTTTGTATGTTTATATGCTACCCGATACACAGACATATCACATATCCATCAGGGTGCTAAACAGTAATTTCTGTAATTTTTTTAACAGTTATCTCATTAGGTTATTAGGGTATTAAACAGTGTTATTTTCAAGGTATGGACTAGGGTTATTTAAACAATTAAACCAATCTGGATTCCAGGCACATAGTTAGGATTACACAATTACTGTGGCCTAATTATCACCAACATTTACTCCCCCCTCCATCCTCGGGTAACTAGGCACAAATTTAATTTATAAGTATGTTTATTCAATTATTTGAGTCTTGGGTATTTAGTGCCTACTGTGCCTGCTGGGTCCCCATAATCTCTAGTTACTACAGTACTATCACATTCACACATTATCATGCATGAAAGAACAATAGTTACTTTTGAAAATTGCTCTTTATGATAAACAGCTTTCACAATAATGTACCAGGATAAGCTAATTAAAATCAATTTCTTAATCCAGGGAGCAGGGGCGATTTTACAGGGGTGTGTGGGGGGTTTGACACCCCCCGAATGTCGGCAATTATAAATACAAGTCGGCAATTTTAAGAAATCAAAAAATCCAACTTTTTATAGATTCTGAGCGGAGCAATGAATGTATTAATTGTACAATGTGTTTTTTTTTGCGTCTGTCATCACCTTTTGGGACACTAAAAATGCTTAGATTTTCTTCAACAGTCCAATCTTTACTGATAAGAAAGTGAATCTAGTTGGTAGGTACTTGGGGGGGGGGGTCAAAAGTAAAAAATTCCAAATAGTTTTAAAAGCGCCGGGGATACCAAAAAAAAAAATTAAGGAAAACCGGGAATGTTTACACAAAATTGTTTTTCTACAAAATCGATATTGGTTTTTGGTGTAACTCTAAAACAAAGTAACGTAGATACATGACTTTTTCCCTAGTTGTTTTCAGCATTTTTACATGATAACATTTTCAAAAAATGTTGGTTTGTTTTGAACTGTTTACGGATATTTTCAGTTTCAGTTTTAGATTCTGAGTGGAACGATGAATGTATTGATTTTACAATGATGTGTGTATTTATATTTTTTTTTAATTTTTAATTATTTTTATTTTTGTGTCTGTGTACACGATAAGTAGTCGAAATAATGCTTTGATTTTCCACTTCAGTATCTTGTTCAACTGGAAAGTGAATATTGTTGGTGCATTGGGGAGATCAAAATTTAAAATTCCCAGTACTTTTCAAAAGCGCCAAGAAAAACAAAAGAAAAATTAAGGAAAAACGGGAATTTTTACGCAAAATCGATTTTTCAAAAAATTGAATTTGGTTTTTGGTGTAACTTTAAAACAAATGACCGTAGATACATGAAATTTTCACTGGTTGTTTATATTTGCATTTTCTATACACGATAACATTTTCAAAATATTTTGATTTATTTTGAACTGTTTAGGGACATTTTCATTTTTCATTTTTTTTAGTTTTTTTTCTAGAAATATCAATTAAATTTTATTTGTTGGTTAAAAAAACTTGAAAATTTAATAGAAGGCTCCTAGTATATGGTTTCAAAAGCAGATGAAAAATATTAAAAATCGTTAATCACAGTTTTTTTTTTATAAGCATTTAAAGTTCAAAAATTGACAAAATATGGAAAAATCACGAAAATTAGCAAATTATTTTGAGTTAAGAATTCGTAAAAATTTTTCTTTTTAAATCTAAGATTCCTTACAAGATTATCTACCTTTATCAAAAAAAAAAAAATGTCTATAAGAAAGTCAAATTAAATTTTTATGAGCGTTTGAAATTCAAATTTTTACAACATTGGATATTCACTTGATTTTTCATGTAGCGATTTCCTTATTTTGTTGTAATTCAAAAACAAATACCTAAAGTAACTGTAGATACATGAAATCTATACAAAATCTCGAAAATTGTCAATTATAAAATGTTCAGTTTTTATAGCTAGGGATTGCAAATTCAAAACAAAAGTTCTCATAAATAGTTCATACTGAAACCAAAAAATCTAAAAAAATATATGAACACAGTTATTTTTTACAGACATTATAAATTCAAATTTGGGCGAAATTTCAAATTACAATACATATTAAAAAACTAGAATAACTATTTTAGTTATTTTGTTGTGATTGAATAATATTATTCGTGGGTACTTGAAACTTCTACTTGTATCACGGTTTTTGTTGGTGTATAAAGCGTTATAAGTAGGTACCTAATGGATATTATGATATGATTAATTTAGAATTTATTATAGGTACCTATTAAAGGTCAATTTTTTGTTTTATACCATAGATATGTATATAATATGTCTTAAACATAGACCGACATACCGTCTCAGCTCAAAATCGTTTTTCTTATACAATGATATTATATCGTTGAATTCAAATTTAATATCATCTATTATACAGTGACCCACTTGTAACCTACTGTACAAAAGAGCGACACCCACTTGCCCACCTTTTTTTATAGTTTTTTTTCTACGAATGTCAATAAAATGTTATTTTTTGGGTAAAAAAAGCTTGATTTAATACAAAGATCCTAATATATTGCCATATTGGTTCACAGACAGATTTAAAAACGATTTTGTAGTTAAACCGTATGAATTAATATTCAACTTTTATAGCTATATAAGGTTTGAAAATTTAAAACAAGGTTGCACGTAAGTATTCTGTAACCAAAAAGTTTTAATTTCATCTTTGAAAGCAGAATATTTAGATACAGTATTTCGATATATAAAAGTCAAATTTAGGAGTTTAGGGTAGGTTAGGTTAGTAACCTAGGTTTCTAACTTAACCTATTTTAATAATATTCTTATACATTTTCTGTACATTTATGAAGAAAGTATGCATTTATGTTCTTAAAATATTATTATATGAGTTTCAAATAAAACCCATAAAATATGATAAATAAAAATAGTATTTTTTGATTCAGTATAATATGAATCAAATTTTTTTCTGGGTCAGCATTAAAATGAATAAATAGAAAAATGCAATTTCATAACTATTTGATCCCTATAATTTATTACAATAGGAAAAAGTAATTATTATAACATTAAGTATACAGTCGGCAGATTTATCATTGAAAGTCGGCAATATTCACTCAAAACCCCCCTAAAAATAAACTCTAGGATCGCCCCTGCCAGGGAGTGTAAAGGTGGTAGTAATATTTCACTATTTGTCTGTTTGTTTGTTGTATTATCTATTATTATTTTTCATAACCTCGGCATCTTAAATGGAGGACCAATGAATACTTATAAATTATAATGCTTATATTTTAAATATTTCTCACCCTCTTCACGACTATACTTCTATTAGGTCATCCTTAAATGTTTCTACTCTTTCCTCTCGTCGTTTTAATGCAGACATCCACTTTATCTCATCTTTACTTAACGGCTCTATTAATGCCCCCAATCTACTTTCTTCTATTTCTTTTCGTATTCCTGTCTATCCAACTAGAAACCACTCCTTATATTACATCCCCTCTCACCGTACAAACTACAACCATAACCATCCTATACATAGAATGCTCCGCCTCCTTAACACCACCTAAAACTACATTTCATGTTTATACTAAATATTATTTGTTCTTATCTTAGTTGTATTGCCACATTCAGAATTATGATGCTGTAAACTTCTTAGTTTTTAATTTCTCTTTTATGATTATTATTAAGTTATTAGTATATTATTCAATTTAATATTATTATCTATATTATCAATAACTTTTACATTTATATTATTATTTTTCATTATCTGTATATATATATTACCCACCATGTACTCGTACATGCAGACTGGCGTTAATTAAAAAAAAAAAAAAACTTAATGCTTAACTTTACCCACCTTATAGATTTTTTTAAACGTTTTCTTAGTGTTCTTAGTTAATTTTTGTGTAAGTAACTGAACTATTTCTGGTGAATACAGTTGTATTTTAATGATACATACTAACCTAATGAGTAATGACTAATAATAAATTAACTAGTTAAAATTTTACTATTTTGTTGCCTTAATATGTGGTTAAAAATTGTCTATGGTCCATCCATCTCTTAAGAGGACATAGTAAATGAGTAGGTAATGGGTAGTGGGTACGCATGTGTTGTCTTCAGCTAACTAACACAAAACATAACAAATTTTAATTTATTTTACTCTGTTGTTTTTAATATTTGATCTGTTATCAAATTTAAAGGTAGGTACATAATTTAGGAATTTTAAAACAAGTAACATATTGTTCTATGCTATTTGAGAGGTAATTGTATTGAAAAATATAGATATTCTTTAAATTTTTATTAAACCATTAATTATTTACAACTAGGACACTAGATACTGTTTAACTTTAGACAGTGACAACACATGTGGGTATGACTATTACGAGTGTACAACATCCTCTTAAAACATATTTATACAAATAGACACCCATATTATATATTATAATAAGCAATTCAAAACTATAATACTAATAAGCAATATAAAATTTTTATATGCAGACTAATCTTGTTCTCTAGACTTTCCCTCCCCCTCTACAAATCTGTCAATGGATGCAAGTCCAACAGAGAAAGTACAATAATGGTCTCAGATCCAGTCGTCCAGAGCATCAGCAAAACAGTAAAAGAGACCATTCTACAGTCATCCGTAGGAAATATAAAAATGGTTTGATAATGATTCTAGAACAGTATAGTAATGAACAGAAAAATGACACGAAAAAGCTGAAAGCTATTTATCAAATCGAAATCCAACAAACCTACCTAATTTTTTTAAAATTTAATTTTTTTTTGTTCGTCTTTAAATTCTAGCATAAATTCACAATAATTTTTTTCTGAGTCAAAATCACGAAAAACAGACGATGATGGCCACTGGTCTGTGGTCAACTTTACACCGTTCTCAAGGCCGGTCCTACGGGGCGGACGAGAGTCACGGGCTCGTTTGCTCTGGACGTGAAGACAACCATGGAGGCGGACGGAGCCAGGCCACTATATGGCTGCGAGAGGGACGACGACAGTTGTTGGTGACGAGCGGCTAGTGCTCGATGTCGTACGCTCGATTGTACTGCAGGCGCTGAAGACGACTCACGACTGATGTGCCGCCGACGACGCGGTGACCAAAGCTTGGAGCGAGTGACGAAAACTATATAATATCGGATGGAGGGATCAGACCGTTGGACAGAAAGGGGAGAGAATCGGCGGACAGCACCTCAACGAGCCTCTCTCCTGATACTTTCCTTGGTTTTCACCCTGACCGATGCCGATGGCCCCACCGTGGAGTCGCGCACCTCCGAACTCTGAAACGTTTCGTTTTCTCGAGACCAGCGCTGTCGACTTCCGTGTTCCTGGCCACCCTGTAATTATAGTCATCCGTCACTCTGTACCCGCCGAGAGCTTTGCGGTCGCCTCGGTCACGAGCTGTCGTCAGTCTGAAAATAAATATGAAATAATTATGAAATTCGATACATAAATGTGGGATTATCCGTATCTTATTTGGTATAATATCTCTTATCATAAGTTGTTAGTCAGTGTGAAATGAACCGTGATTGTGATTGTACAGAGTAAGTTAAGTTAGAGTTATAATACACAATTATTTTACGTGACATTGTTGTGTTAATGCTTTTGTTTAATCAACCTCAACCCACGTGAAGTTATTACAACATTGTATTAACTTCTGCATAAATATAAAGATATATTTTTGTTTTTAGGTTGTAAGAGAAGTCCACAAGACCGGCTTACAAATAGTAGCGACAATTTCTGACCAAGGACGTTCTAATGAAAGTGCTATAAAACTTCTAATTAATGAGACAAAAGGATTTTTTATCAAGCGCAATGAAAAATATACAGATGATATTTATGAAATACAAGTGGATGAACAAAAAACTATCCAGATTGTTCATATTTTTGATGTCCCACATTTGATAAAATGCATCAGAAATAACCTTTTAACAAAAGATTTAATTTTTTCAATGAATGGGGCGAAAGGTTGTGCAAAGTGGTCCCACATACAAGATCTGTACAATATTGACAGTGCAATACCGGATTGTAAAATGTTACCCCGAATTACCGATCAACATGTATAGTGCCAGAAAAAATTTCGAAAATGAAGGTGAAATGTGCGACTCAAATTTTTTCACAGCGTGTGTCATCCACTATGATGTTTTTGTCATGTAAGTAATGAGTACAATTTCTGTCTAGTTTGTAGTTATAACATTCTTATTTGTAAAATAAGTGTATTACTATATTATTCTAATAAACTATACATTAGCATATAAATCTGTTTTCTAATTAATCACTAATTAGCCTTTTCACATTCTGTTAACAGCTAAAAATTTAATTGATCCATGTGCTAATGACACAGCAAAAATATGTTTGTTCTTCGATAAGCTATTCGATTCCTTGAATGGTAGTTTTGATGGAGTAATAGATGGGAAAATTTATCGAACATCAATAAAAAAGAACTCTCCTCATCATGCACTTTGGGCGGAAAGTCTTCAAGTTCTTTCCACAATGAAATTTGTTAATAAAAATGGAAAAACATGTGTTGTACCAACCATAGAGAATTGGATGAAAACAATACGAGGTTAGTATTATCTATATAATAATTTTTATTTATTTTTGATAAAAATATGTTTTCAAAATAAAAATAACAATATGATGCATTTAAAAATAAATTAATTGATATTATTAGGTTTGACTGCGTGTTGGAACAAACCTATTATTTTTTATTGTTTGATTTTAGGTTTTCAAAAATTGTTTAAAACATTGTATACAATTATGGCATTCGGTCACTCTTACCACGACATGTAAATCAGGATTCTGTAGAATGTTTTTTTGGTGCAGCACGTAGTGTCAGCTCAAGTAATCCATCATGCCACGCATTTGCATCAGCATATAAAACATTATTGTTGAACAATTTAATGTCATCTAATTCACCAGGCTTAAACTGTGAAGATATAGTTGAAGCAAGTCTAACATCTTATAGAAATTTAATTATTAAAGACCCTAATGACATGAATGTGGTACAAAATAATTGTAACATAACTGTTGATCTACCTGTAACCATTTTTAACGTGCCAATGGGTATTAATGTTTTACGGGAGAATGTTCATACCTATATAGCTGGATACATTTTAAAAAAACTAAACAAAAACTTATTTAAAAATTGTAAAATCTGTCTTAAAAATCTTTGTGCTAACAATGTGACAACAACGCATGATCTAATAACAGCTAGAGATTACACTTTTAATAGACAGTCATTAAAATACCCGTGTCAGATATTCGCTTCTTTGGTTCAACAAATAATTGAATATGTAACCGGACAAATGTCTAAAATTTGTCATCATAAAGATATTTGTATAACACTAAGTTTTAACATAAGGAATAATTTTAATTTTAAAGACCTTCCACTGTGCTCAAACCATAATGGTGAAATTTTTGTTAAAAAAATTATAAATAGTATTGTTTTCTTAATGCTTAACCATTGGTGTACAGAAATAAATAGAATTTTAATAGGGAAGAAAAAAATTCACCACTTGGAATCTGATCCGATGAAACTAAAAGCAAATGTCTGGCACGCAAAACATTCTAAAAAACCAAAAAACACCCTAGGAAAATTCAACAGTGTTGCTTAATAATTATAATAATTTTAATTTTGATTTTTTGTGAAATTTATAGTATTTTAATATTTTGTATCTTATTAAAAAAATAAATTATCTACTTGTTTATACAAAATATAAATATCGTGTTTTTATTTTTTATCATCAATTATAATTTAAGAAAATTTACTACATTATTTTTATGAATATAATAAATAATAATATTATAATATATTTTAATATGTAATATTTATGAAGTATCGATAATATTGATAATACAGGTATCGATAATACTGATATCGATGTTGAGGTATCGATATTGGGGTACCGCATATTCGATTGTACTTCATAGTTCATGTTTCCAACCACGCGGAGCGCTAAACGCAGTCACCATACTTTTGCATTGAGTTGGTTATCTATAAAGGTATACTTGTCTATGGTCACATGGTACCATCGGAAGGCGTCGATGTCCGCGCCGGTACCGCTAGCCTCCGTCGTCGTCGCTCTCGGACCGAAGCAGACGGGCGAGCGACGTCCTCGATCCTGTCTCGCTACCGCGGAGAACGTGTATCGGTGACTTATTGCCAATCACCCCAAAAGTGCACTGTTACGTACCTAAACCTCGACCCCGCGTCATCGCCACGCCTTGTCCGCTGCCCACGGCCAGGGAGAAACTCTTGGATGGTTATATACATAGGGGAACAACGGCAGAAAATGCGTACGACCTTCGTGATACCACTCTACGCAGCGGACGCGATTCTCGCCGCCGTCCGTCTGCGTGGAGCTGCGCGTTTTCGCTAGCGTTGCCCCTGGGTCCAGCAAGCCGCTAAAGTCTCCAAAGCTGTTCTTGACCTCAGCTCCCCTGGCTGGAGTGACCAACTCTGCCTCGTCACTGGACGCTTCCACCGCCGCCGTCGACCACATCGTCTCTGATCCATTCAACCGGTCCAGTACTGGATTTATCGTAAAGTTGAATTGTTTTCGACGAGTCACCGCCCGCAAACAGTATCGCATACAAGACAAAAGGTCCTCATCAATGTCGTCTGTTCGTCTTAGTTTTTCTTCCATCAATTCGTAATCGATGTTGTTCATGATTTTGTTCGAGACGTCTTTAATCGATTTCGTGTATCGTTTAGTTAATTTGGGTTCAGCCACTCACAGATAAATTGTTCGCGTGTAAGATAGTCAGAATAAATTGCAAATGAGCCGATTTCGAATTTCGTCTTAGGCCGTCGCCGATAATTTAAAACAAACATCGTTTATTAGTAGCCAGCAAGTAATGTTGGGTGCATATTGTTATTAATCGACTTGCAGCATCGGCTGGATTTCAGGCCCGTTTATTTTTCCGAAACACCATTATTTTTATTATTATTGATTTACCAATACTGCACTTACGTTATAACGCAGTAGTAGACTATTGTATTACAATATTTTAATTTTTAACGATAATATATTTATCGATCTGTATTATACACTGTTGTACTCGTTTTATACTTTTATAGTTTTATAGGTGAAGTCTTTTAGATTCTGATATTAATACGTATTGAGATTTTACAATTATGCGTGTTTTTGTGTATGTGAATAGGTGCACGGCATTTTATGGTAGAAAAAATGCTTTGTTCTTCAACATTAGGGATGATTTCCGATTGGAAATTGATTCTAGCTATATCTTAGAAGGGTGACATTAAAAGTTATTTTCTTAATAGTTGGGAAAAACTTTTTATTAGCATCCTACTAATATTATAAACGCGAAAGTTCGTTTCTTTGTCACTCTTTCACGTAAAAACTACCGAAATTATTTGAATGAAACTTTACAATAATATAGCTTATACATCAGAATAATAACACATAGGCTACAAATCATCTCCCTTGGTCCAACCGGGGGATGTTCTCAAATGGGGTTTTAGAGATTATTACGGTGGAAAATTTTGTTTATAAATGGTTGCCATGGGTTTTAAAACTACTATAATAATAAATATTGCAGGTTGCCGTGAAATCTGTGTATTCATTCAATGCATTTAATTTTTTTGTACGCTGTGCTATGTATTACAATTACGTAAATATTGAGCGTATTATACTCACACATAAGTCACGTAGATACATGGTACATAAAACAATCACGATGCCACGTATTCGTGGACGAAAAGGAAATATTGGTCGACAGACTCGGCATTCACAATTCGTCCAACCGTTTAGGAGGAGTTCAGTAACATACTTGGTATAACTTTGATACTTTAGAGTTAAATTATCAAGTTACGAACAAACATCAAGGGGTCCACGATCTACCGCAGGTAGATTGCCCACCTGATAATATAGGTACTGCTGCGAATCAGAATTTTGATTCCGAGCAACGGAAAAGTTAAGATAAATTTTGAACACCATACACTGAATATTAAATAACGGATTGAACAAAGTTTGAGTAAGGGTTTGAGTCATATAGAGTTGATACATTAAAAGGGTAACGAAGTGCACGGGAGCTAGTCTTCTATATATTATATGGTGTTCATTTCAATTAATTTCATATTATAAACATTTAAAAAATTTTATTTATTTTTCCTTAAAATTAAGATTTTGGTGGGACTTGGTGTAAAATTAAAAAAAAAATCCATAAAATGTTTCACGTATTTTCTTCTTCTTCTACTACTCCTGACTTTAAAAACAACTCTTTTGAAACGAAGTTTTTAATGTCACTATGCGGGCTGGTCGGGAAAAAACGTTCCAAACAAAATAGTATAATTTATAATATATTAAACATCCAATTTTTATTCCATCACACTGATTGACATAGTTATGCGATAATACTTTTTAAAACTGATTTTAATTCGTTATTGTGTCTACTTGATATTGGTCACTATATTTTTTCCAATTTCATCCCCCCCCCCAACATCTATAAATTTAGCTTGGATATTTTGAAATTTTGGAATTTTCAAACGTTGATTATTCGGGATTTATTTGGAATTTAAATCAGAAATCTTAAAATGTGGACTGACCAATCTCAAATAGACATTCTAACGAATTCAGATCAGTTTTCTGAAATACTATCGCATTGTTAGATCGATTTGCAGAATGGATTAAAAAAAAAAAAAGGTGGGCAAGTGGGTGTCGCTCTGCTGTACAGTAGGTTACAAGTGGGTCATTGTATAATGGATGATATTAAATTTGAATTCAACGATATAATATCATTGTATAAGAAAAACGATTCTGAGCGGAGACGGTATGTCAGTCTAGGTATAAGACATATTATATACATATATCTATGATATTAAACAAAAAATTTACATATACCTAATAGGTATCTATAATAAATTCCAAATTAATCATATCACAATATCCATTAGGTATACTTATAACACGTTATACATTAACAAAAACCATGATACTATCATAGATATATATTAGTAGGTACACTTTAGAAGTTTCAAGTACCCATGAATATTATTATTATTATTATTATTATTATTATTCAATCACAACAAAATAACTAAAATAGTTATTCTAGGTTTTTTAATATGTAATTTCGTCCAAATTTGAATTTAAAATGTCTGTTAAAAATAACTATGTTAATATATTTTTTAGATTTTTTGGTTACAGTATGACCTATTTATGAGAACCTTTGTTTTAAATTTGCAATCCTTAGCTATAAAATCTGAACATTTTATAATTTATTAATTACAATGATTGATAATTTTCGAGATTTTGATAAATTTTGTCAAAATTCGATCTTTAAATGCTTATAAAAAAAATTGTGCCTATGTATTTTCAATGTTTTTGAACTGATATTGTAACAATATATCAGGAGTCTTGTATTAATTTTTTACACTTTTTGGCCCACCAGATAAAATTAATATTTATAGAAAAAAAACTAAAAAAATTGAAAACTGAAAATGTCCGTAAACAGTTCAAAAATCATTTTCAAAATTTTATGGTGTATAGAAAATGCTAATTTAAACATTCAGTGAAATTTTCATTTATCTACAGTTGTTCGTTTTTGAATTACAACAAAATAAGGAAATCGCTACATGAGAAATCGAGTGAATATCCAATGTTGTAGAAATTTGAATTTCAAACGCTCATAAAAATTTAATTTGACTTTCTTATAGACATTTTTTTTTTGGTAAAGGTAGATAATCTTATAAGAAATCTTGTATTACATTTTCAAATCTTGGAATTAAAAAGAAAAATTTTTACGAATTCTTAACTCAAAATAATTTTCGTGATTTTTCCATATTTTGTCAATTTTTGAACTTTAAATGCTTATAAAAAAAAACTGTGACTAACGATTTTTAATATTTTTCATCTGCCTTTGAAACAATATACTAGGAGCCTTCTATTAAATTTTCAAGTTTTTTTAACCAACAAATAAAATTTTATTGATATTTCTGGAAAAAAAACTAAAAAAAAATGAAAAATGAAAATGTCCCTAACAGTTCAAATAAATCAAAATATTTTGAAAATGTTATCGTGTATAGAAAATTCAAATATAAACAACCAGTGAAAATTTCATGTATATACGTTCATTTGTTTTAGAGTTACACCAATAACCAAAATCGATTTTTTGGAAAACCAATTTTGCGTAAAAATTCCCGTTTTTCCTTAATTTTTATGTTGTTTTTCCCGGCGCTTGTGAAAACTACTGGGAAATTTATACTTTTGACCCCCGAAAGTACCAACAAGATTTACTTTCCTATCAGAAAAGCTACTGTTGAAGAAAATCCAAGCACTTTTACTGTCCTAAAACGTGATGACAGACACAAAAAAATTTTTTAAAAAAAACACACATCATTGTAAAATAAATACATTCATCGTTTCACTCAGAATCTAAAAGCGGGAGCGGTAAGTTGTAGAGACGGTTGTAGATTGATTATATTGTATACCTTACCCTTACGTATATTGATAATATTATGTCACTACAGTACTACACTTACACTACGTATATCATATGCATTTATAATTATTATAAATTATAATTAATAAAATATATAAGTAATAAGTATATAATATAAGTATTGAACTATACGTAGGTAATATATTTTTTA